TGACAGCTTATGTGATGTTGTAATTATTTCAAAATTATTAAAGGGTTTTTCATGGAAAAAAGAAATTTAAAAAAAAAACTGTAAAATTTACAACGAATTCATCCGTGCTGGATGATATTATTGCATTATGAATCTTATCATCGGAATGATAAGATAATAAGAGTTTCGAACCGTATTATTAATGAGAAGTTGAAATTTAAGTTATACACAGGTTGCAACAACGATATAAATGAAAGAGAAATGATATTGTTAAATTTAATAAGGAATAAGATATGAATTATGCGATACGAAATATAATTATAACTATAATTGAATGAGTAATTTTGATTAGAATAACGTATAATGGAAAAATGTTCAGTAGCTATTAATAATATTGTGAATTAATGGGTGAAATATTTATTAGGATTAGAATTTTCTCTATCACAGTTTTTATTAAGATATAGCAGGATGATATATATATATATATAATAATAGCTGTCATATTATATAGTTTTACCGCTATAGTTATTTTTCGAGCATAAAATTTCTAACGACGAATAATCGTTTACGAAGTAATCAAATGAATCATTAAAAATTAAACTTACTCATTAATTCAAAATACTATCAATAGCTACTAAACATACGTTATCCTAATCAATTTTTAACAATTTTAATTTTTCAGATAAACTTCTTTTGAAGGATGGAATCAGAAGAATAATAAAGCAAATATAATTTTTGTTTTAAAAATTAATTAATACATCCAATTATAATTCGTAACTTGAATTTTTAAAAAAAAATTGTAATTAAAAAAGATTTTAATTAAATTAATTTATTTTGCAATACAATAAATTAATATGAAAATAGCTTTGCATTGAAATATATTTTGCAATCATTAAAAAATTTTTGAAATCGTTTATTCGTATTTTTTACATTGTACAGAATGAAGAATAAACAATGAAAAGGTATAATACTCTTAAACAGGTCCATAAGCATATTCCACTCTTCCATTAGATTTTTCCATGCATCTGAAAATGATGAATTTTGCCTGAATACTGAATGATAATTATCATGATTAATCACCATAATTATCATTCCATATTATAACTATAATTATCATTATATTATTGTAATTTGCATAGTGATAATTATTATAGCTTAATTCATAATATTTATGTGATTTTAATGACAAATGAATCGCTACTTCTATATCATTCGCTGATTCGCTACTTCTATATCATATATACAATTATTTGCAGATCTAATATCAAAGCGCAATTTCAAACTAATAATAAAATTTAATTTCTATTAGACAATAGATTTTAGTTGTTATGAAAGATTGCAAAACATTATATATATATATATGAGAAATTTTATGTAAGACTACAAATTAGTATCAGTAATTAGTTAGATGAAAAGAAACAATCTGCAATACCTACTAATCAGATTACGAAACTTTACCGGGGTAACTTATGTTTATTCATATAAACCGTATATCCTCTCAATCATCGGTATTTAACCGGATAATCTTGGAAATAAATTTGTATTCTTTTCGACAGTTTTTTCCAAATTAAAATGACACCAAAATTATGTCATATAAAAAAAGATACGTACGTATATTTTATTCCACCTTCTATAAATTCGGTTCCTACACGTAATCGAAAACCACCTGGCGCTAAGCATGCAGTAATTCTTGTGCGCCATGATCCATCATCCTTCGTTTTACATTCCAATTCAAAGTTATTCTGAATCTACAATTGAAATTTTTTTTTTTGGGAATTTAATTTTAATTTTAATTATTTTAATTAGCTTAAACTATTCCAAATACTTTACTCCAACAAGAGAAAATCATTTACTTTTCATTATTTTATATTTTATGGAATTTACAACAATTTTACTTTATAGAATTTACAACAGTTAAACTTTATTAAATCTCATTGTTTACAATAAATAATCTTTAATCGAAATCAAAATAAATAAATAAATAAATAAATATATATATATATATAACGATGAGGAAAGAACAAAATTATTATTAGAGTGATAGAAAAATTAATTTCTATTATATTTAATCAATATACACAATATACACAAAAGGAATAAGATAAACTAACCCAGGTGTCACCATTTTTATACACTTTACCATTAATTACACATGCTTGATCACTATTGACTGTAACCAGAAATATAATTATTCCAATTAAAACTTTCATATAGATTACTATTTGAATCTAAATTTCCAATTAATTAATTATTTTAAGTAAATGCTAATTATAGCATCATAAAATTAATTAAATAAATTCAAATATTAAATAAATATAAATAACAAGTTTATATAAATGATTACAATAATTAATAAGTTCCTAAATTCCAATTAGCAATTTATAACAATTGATAGTGATAAACTGATAATAATGATAACGAGTTTATTAAAATATTACTATAACGTTGTAATGAATGTGTTGATTGAATTTTAAAAATTAGATTGCATTTTCAAATAACAACATTTTTTTGATAATATTACTCTAATTGACACACACACACACCCATACATGCACACAAACACCCATACATATATATATATATATATATATGTACCTGTATATAAATAAATTCAGGTAAATTGATCATTATTAAACCTCCTTCCTTATTTATCATAATTCTGGAATATATAAATAAAGTCAGGTAAATTGATCATTATTAAACCTCCTTCCTTATTTATCATAATTCTGGAATATATAAATAAAGTCAGGTAAATTGATCATTATTAAATCTCCTATCTAATTTCTCATAATTTTGGTGTAGAAAAGATAAAATGAAAAGTTTCATTCATTATTATCAAATGATATTAGAATAATTGAATAAGTAAAGTAAATGAAATGAATGACTAAACTAATGAAATTAATGAAAAGAAGGAGAGAGATAATGAAAAAATATATTGTTTCCACCTTATTTCTACCTCTTCATTACAACAAAAATGTCGTCAATTGGAATTATTACACATTTTTGGAATGATTATTTGAATTCGATCAGTTCTTTTATTGACAGTTCTGAAGAACAGAAATTATAAGAAAACAGCAAATTATCTTTTTCCTTTCACAATTTTTTTACCTCTCTTTTTTTTTTTGTAATTTCGGAACTATTTGAAATTTAGGAAAAAAAGAAAAGGACACTAATAATTATTAATTAGTAATTGAAATTTGTTAATAATGAATTAAAGTTAAATTATCGAAGGGGATAAATAATACTTTTCCATTGATAGTTATTCGAAATCATTTGTCTTATAATTTTACGAAATTTTCTTTGACAAAAAATTTACTGTTGACAGCTTGCTTTTTTTTTTTAGAGGAAATCAATGTTTAAATGAATTCGATTTATAATTCGTCAATTAATTTAATTTTTTACTTTTTTAGCATTTTAAAATTCTCAAGATTCATCCGACATAAACTTGCTGCTGTAAGATTTAAAATTATATATCTTCAATATAAAGTCAGATAGAAATCAAAGTAATCGACGCAAATATCATCTTAAATAACTTGCTTCAATTAACACCAATACCAAAATACATGCGACATTCCTACTTCCGTGATTTTTTAATTTCAAAGTTCTTCATCTAAAATATAATACAATGGCATCGATTAAGGAATATTTGTTTCTCTTCCAATCTTTAATTCTTTCTCTTTTAACCATTTTTAAAACTGAAATCACTTTAGTTTAATCTCCGAAAGCGCTTTCTAATATTTGTGCCCTCTTCATTATTCGATTAAATAAACTAAAATTGTAGGTAAAATTAGGAAATATCCGGTATTTGCGATACTTTTCCTCAACTGAACAATCAGCGCATCAGACTCCTGTCATATCATGGATATAGATAGAATCGGAAGTTTGCAAACTAAAACTTCGAATCGATTACGATGGTGCAATTAGTTCGATATCGTAAGCAGACTGTTAATATCCGTTTACTCAGATTTTTATGTGGAAAGTGAACAACTGGGTTTCTCAAAATATGTTCATATGTTCGGCAGTGACATTTTAATTAGAAAACTATTGGAAAAATTGTTGCACTTCACAACTAGAAACTCTCATTAAATGAATTTGATTAATAATTCAAGATTTCGAAGGTTAATAAACAGAATAAAAAGTATGAATGCATTAAATTTTCTTTTTGAAAATTTCAAACAATGACAAATTCTTCCCACAAACTGTGAAAAATTTTTTCATTTAAACCAAATTTTTTTCAGAAAATTTCTAATAAAACATGTAACATATTGCTAGCATACGTAATTAATAATCATGCATGGCATAAGTAATTAAAAAACATGACATTAATAGTCATGTCCTTGCACTGCCACAAATGTAAATCTAAAATGTAAACTCGAGCAAATAAGAAAATATGATCATCATGAACTAATTTCAACAAGAAAAAACAACTGTAAATTAAATGGCAGAAGAAGTATATATAACAGCAGCAATCACGAACTTTCAAAATATCTGAATTTTTCTGAAATTAAGAAATCGTAATTTGGATTTATAAAACTCTCAAGAATTTAGAAAAAACATCAAGCTAGAAGTGTAAATGATCATAAAAATTTAAAAACTGTTTTATTTCCTGCACCAAATTTTAGCTCCAATATAATATTTACGTTTAATCTCGATCAATAATCTAGGCTGAACATGATATGAGATCGCAATGTTAGCAAAATTTGAAAAAAAAAAACAATAATAACGGTAATAATCAAAATAACACACAGGGATGCATAAGAAAAGTGCCGACAGAAACTGTAAAACAATAATATTATGTACATAAGAACAGAACTGGATTCAAAAAAATCTTTAGATTTAACATTAAAATATGACCGGAAGATTTGTCAACCAAACGAAAAACTATCTTATAATTATTTAGAAAAACTTCCATGACAACAACAGTAACTGCTATCTGGCAGAGAAATAAGTATGAAGAATTACAATACACTTTTGTTAGAACAGGAAAGAAGTGCGAGAAACAACCTGAATGTAGATAATGGTTACTCGTGAACTTTTTGATTCATTCTCCTCCGATAAATGTCACGAACGATCCCAGATGCACGCGGTGCTGCTTCTTCATCGCTGTCAGAATCACCACCACCTGCTCGTCTCTTCCGTTGTACAGAAGCTGTTTGCTGTTGCTGGTATTCGCTTGACGCCAAAATCTAAATTATCTTCCAAATTTTAACAAAATAACATCTTTGGTAAAATGTCAGGTACTAAATCTTGTCGATCTTAAAGAAATATAACAAAGGTAATAAAAGCATACAACATTAGGATCCGTAGTCGTATTCAATAACTGATAAAATTCTTTTTTGATATCTTCTACTCGATGCATTCCGAACATGGTACCATTCTCCAATTTCACTTTAGGATCGACTGATGGTGCTAAAAAAGAACTATTTCAAAGGTAATAAAGAAATCAGATAATCATTGAATGAAACAATCACTCGAGCGCAAGTCTAGGAAACGTGATGATTTGAAGAAAAAAAAACATACGTCCACCTTGGTTGAATTTTGTTAAGCTTTCCATAAGTAAATCTATCGAAACAAAAGGACCATTGAAACACCATGGAGGCGGTAACATCTGCATCAATTGAGCAGCTGCAGCCGGTGGCGGGAAAACACCTTTAAAAAATGGGATTAACAGCTCGCTTGTTTATAGACTTCACATGTTTTTCTGCAAATATGCGCGAAAAAATTAAAAAACTAAATTAGATAAACTGAAATGTGCATGAAAAAAATTTGAAACATACCACCAGGAATAGGATGGTAACTGGTATTCGTGTTCAATTTTGGTTTAAAAGGTATCATCTGATCTGTATCCGGCCTTGGATAACCGGAAATTTCCAGACTTACACCACCACCCATTACGACTGATGGTCCACCCCCAGCTGGAGTTTGCCTCACCACATTCTGTCCTGAAACAAAAAAACTGTGAGATTGCAGAATGCAACATTGACATGATGAGACAGTTATCAACAGTTATCAATCAAGGAAATCAAACCATTTGTTTGAGCACCATTTGACAATAAAGAAACTGTTCCTGAAACTGATGAACGTCCAATCAATGACGAACCTTGTCCTAGTTTTTTCTGCAAATACCATAGAATTCAGAACATAAAATTGATTCTGAAGGAAGCTTATGGGAAAATTAACAAGCCATTTCTGATTAACAATACACTAATTAAATTAATGGTGATTCCATATAACGAAGGAACTTCTAAAGTTCAATTTGTTCTACTGATACTCCTTAATCTCATGAAAACAGTGAACTGATATCACATTTTTCGAGATACTCCGGATTAAAAAATTTCCGTGTGAATTGGTCTGGATCTTCTTTTCTCAGCTCCATCTTCACTATAATATTATGGCAAATTATACTAGAATTCCTAACCTTCCAAAAAAAATACATTTGATCTATGAAACTTATTGAAAAACAATGAAGTTAAGAGTCTAAAAATATTTGTAAACAATATTTGAATTCGATAATTTGCTTGCTACTTACCGAATAACCCATCAATCTCAACTGATCACTAGTGCACGGTACCAAGTCCAGAAATTTATATCGATCAATTAACAATAGGGTTTGCATTTCGCCATATTGTTCTTTTAACGCTTCACGCCGCCTCTGATCAACTTTCAAAATACTCGACAAATCACCAACATGTGATTCAAATTCTAAGTAGCGATCCCAGATCTCACTAGAAAAAAGATAATTGAATTCAACGTTCAGAAATAAATTTGACTTTGAAGAAAAAATTCACTAACATCGATTTTTCAGGTGCCATACAGTCCGAAGTCAATATTCGCTCAAGAACGACACGTGTATTGTTATCCTCTGAAATAATTTAAACAAATCGAATTCCGTAACAGAACAAACATCACAAATGTAAATTTCAATAAGAAAAAACATTCTCCCGAAAAGAAATATATGCGTATGTCCTAAAATAAAAAAAATTGGAGTAGAAAAATTCTGGAAATGAAAACACAATTGAACCAAAGCAGTAGATCGAAATTTTGGGAAGTAATTATTATGGAATTTGAACTACCGTTTAAGTGTGACAGAAAATCGACATAAGCGAGAGCATATTCCGGTTCATCGCCATACTTTTTCAGTCCCATATCAAAAACCCTTATTGCAATATCTGTATCCTAAAAAGTGATCAGCAATGAAAGTAATTCGTCAATAACTCGATTACAGTGCAAATTATACAAAAATAATGGGAACCTGAAGCAGTATTTTTGTAACCATTAATGTTTAGAAATATTAGATGGAATGAACAAAAGACTGGGCAGTGACAGTACAAATTTCCTTTAACGATTATTGAAGAAATTAAAAATAAAAATTAAGAACCTTGCTGCAATAATATTCCATAAGTGCAGAAGCAACGAAAATGTGAAATTTGCAACGTGAATCCTGACGTGCACGCTTAAAAATTGCACGTGCATACTGCACACCTTCGGTTCGCCTCACAAATTTCATCAGTTGTATATAAGCCTGAATTTTAAATCAAACAAAATGCGTAAATTGTGTATTTTCATCATTCGTACAAACTTTATAAAACTGTTAGAGTCAATACACAACGTGTCACTTTCTAGAGAATTTTTTCGAAAAATTTTTCTATATAGGAAATATAACATAGTATGCTCAGATATGAAATGAGCTACTCCTTCAAATTGTAACCGATAAAACTATAATTATTAAAGAATAACATGTAAGCAACTACCAAGGTAGGATCGGCTGTTTCAATTGCCAGAAGTCGATCGTAAATTTTCCTCACATTATCAAATTTCATTCGTTCTTCTTCATAATCTGCATATGCAAAAAACAAAAGTTGGCTTTCCTTTAATAGGCCTCCGACTGCACGTTCGAATAATTCTGAAAAGCGTAAAAATCTAAAAAAAAAGGAAAGAGAGCAATGATGTAACTCGAAGAATGAATAAATACTCTCATTAAAATGGCTCGCGCATTTCTAGCTCTAAAACCATTGCAAAACCATCACTGTATGGCCAAATATTCAAATTTCAGTCTAGTGTTGGCAGCAACATAGTTAATGACCTAACAGAACCTTCACCAAAATCTTGTGATGATTCTAGTAATCAAGAATTTAGCACTTTTTTTAAATTCGCAATAAGCATGAACTAACGAATGATATCAGCATTCATTGTGGCTGCTAATTTTACATCACCCTTTTCTGCCAGAACAGCTGCAGCTTGTTGCTGAAACAATGCGGCTTCGTACCACATGTCAGGATAATATCCAAGGCACAGCAGAGCTTGTTCGTAAGCATATATTACTGAACACATTATTAAACAACATAAATTTGGAGTAGGATTGACATTGACTCTAATATTAGCATATATAGTTTAGCTGGACACATAATATTATAATACGACTTTTTTTGGGGCAACAAAATTATCATACAATAATATCAGTTTGTTTCAATTTCAAACGTAAATTATTAAAGCTTATAATTACCTCTTTTAGCAAAGTATGCGTATTCTTCTGTGCCCAAAGGATTACTTTTTTCCCATTGTATGTACTTCCGCCACATGTCCAGCTGAAAAAATAAAGAAATCTTTAACTAATTTTTTGTAATGACCATAAAGAAAGTTTCGTAAGAATTAAAACCTAAAAGTTGAAGTAAAACTGAAAAGTTCAAACCTGCTTCATTTCTGCAGCAGTTCCTCGCGGTGGGACACTTACAGCCTGTCGGTTTAATCCCCTTGTCACTTGCTCCAACGATTTTGAGATACGCTTAGCAACTTGGTATTCCTTATTTCGTTCGGCTATCAATTTCTCCGCTAATGTGGCATTTACGCTCTGCAAATTAAAAAAAATTCGAGGAACCAGGAAAAAAATCAAAGTTTTTTCAAAGTCTATAAAGCAATAAGAGTCCAAATTCCTAATTCACTTTTTTCGTCCAACAAGCCGTAAATTTACTTCTGCTTTTATTAGTCAATCGTAATCGATAAAAGATTCAACAAATCCAATAGAAAACCATAAAAATTATTCGACATTCTACCTTTTCATAAGCACAATATTCAGCCCACAATTGTTCGATATTAATCATTGGAGTGACGACGCCACGCTGATAAATTTTACGAACAGCTGAAATTCGCTGATTCTCTGCGTACTGACCAACTGTGGGCCTGTAATGTAAGATTTTTTTATTAATGAAAATTTAGATTTTCTACTATACAAACAAAAAACTAACAAAACTTACGCAGATTTAAGAAAGGAAAGATAATCGGAATAAATGGAGTATGAATGCATGTCAAGACCAATTTTATCCAAAGCAAATTCATATGCTTGCGCCATTTTTTCCCTAAAATCAGAATTTGTGTGTGTAGCTATGAATCGAAAATAAAGAACTATTTAAATATCGGTAGATACTATTAAGATAAAGCTTAGTTACTGAAATTCCTCAGTGAGATTACTTTATTAACAGATAAAATTACAAAATATTATGTAAGGCAATTTGAATAACAATCAGCCGAAGATCATTTTAATAGAAGACAGTTTTCTCTTACTTTCTTAAAACTTAAATTATGTTTAAATGACAAAATCACTTAAGTAAGTGTCATAGCTACACCAGAAGAAATAAACATATCAAACCTGAACGAAGACAGATGTCCTTTAGTCTCACGTACATAGAAAACATAGCACTTCCAGAGATCGATATTGAGGACATGAATGAGACAGCGCCCAAATAACTGAAAAAAGATGTCCAATCATTAAGCAATGAAATATTTTCAGAAATAAAGTAGCATTTAAGTCGTATTATTCAATTGGTTAGTGATCAACCCATGGGTTCTGAGCTATGCAAGAAGTTCAAGATTATGATAATTCAGTCAAATTACTGCGCTACATCATTTAATGATCATCGCAACTCAAACAAAAAATGTTCAGTAGTGTATGCATCAGGCCACAATAATTATCATAACACTTCTCTATTGCCGATTAATCTAGTTCCCGCTAATCAACAGAATTGGTGCTTATGAGCTCCAAATTTTAAGACATATATTCTGCATGGTGAATCATACTAGAGGATCAGAATCAAATTCAATGTTTTGAAAAAAAATACTCAAACATTCAATGCAATAGCCTTTTCCTGCACTGAATGCAACAGATCCAAAGATAACAGACATTAGAATCATTCGTGTAATTCATCCTATGGTTAGATTATTCGTTGAAAAACAAAACGTTATTCTAAATTGATGGAATTCTAAACCAAATTTTTGAAAACCTTGACAAAGAATTTAAACTTACTGATTCCACATTTTCGTAATTTTTGCCACGAAGCTGAAATTTAAATGCATGAAACTTTCTTTAGTAGTAAAAAATAAAATCTTAGAAATAGCCGAAGGATGAATGCTTATCCGCCAAGAAATCCCCATAAAATCAGCCCATGATAGGCACTACGACAAAAGCAACGTTCTGAATTAAGTAATTGTAACAACAAATGCGAGAAACAGACCATGCCCATGTTTTAAATTTGATTTAGTCAAATAATAGCACACATTTTAATAAATTTCCCAATAAAATTTCCACGACGACCTAACAATGACTTGGAAGTTTGCCGAAAATATATCCTGCATATTGTTCAACAAGTAGGAAACTACACAGAGGAATTTCACAACTCAATCTGGAAATTTCGGGAACATGAAATTCCAACATTATAAAAAGTCCCTATGCCTAAATTATTATATGCATGTTAGATTTTCTTTTTCCCTTAAAAAAAAAGAGAAAGAGACATATTGTTTGAACAACCATTATCGTTATTGCTTTTAGATAGTGTAACATTGTTACCGCATAATGATTTCTCAAAATTCACGCCAGGACTTTTAGTGTAATGTTCCATCTCACTGTCCCCATTTCCAATCTCTGTCCCCAAAACACTTTCGTACTATTTTAAACGCCGAGAAAACAAAACATGATATGAAATAAAGTGAATTTTGAAAAATCATAATTAGTTGCACTGTGAGAGAAATCATATTTGTCGTATATTCTTTATTCGGTGGGAAAAATTTAAAAAGAAAGAGAAAAAGGAGAAAGGAAAAATGCAACCAAAAATATGTATTTCATTATTGTTCGGCCACTTTTTCGAGTAAAAATTTTTATTCCGTTTGGGACGATGGCAAAATTCATGCAGCAGTAGTAATACATTTGATATTTGTTCAAAACATGGACTAAAGGTAAAGTATGTCATTCCTAAATTCACACTTTTTGTTCTCAGTTTCACAGAATTTCCATGTCTGTTTACACGAAGAAGGAGAAGAAGAGCGAGCACCACTGCGCGCTGCAAAATTGCAAAACAAATAAAAACGATGGTATTCAATTGATGGAAACTATATTGCTGCTACATTTCTATTCATGATGATAGATTCTTTTCTCTCAATGTCGTCATGTTCATGATTTAAAAAATCTTGATTTTAATGAACAAAAAAAGTAACCAGTTAGTCTCCGAATTTTTAGACGTATTTTTGGAAAATTTTTATAACGGTATTTTCCTTCGAACTTTTCACTCCTACTACATTTCACTTGGGAATATTTTCTTAGCTGAAGTGGCCATATTAAGTAAATGAAAATCCAAACCGGCTTTTTCACAAAAGCATTCGACGAAGTGAAGCAAGAGTTCAGAATCATGAAATAAAGTAAAATTTTCAACAGATGACTTACTTCATGATCTATATATGCTTTCCAGTAACGGCCAGCATTCGGAAACTGTGCCACCAATTTTTCGTAGAACGAATGCACCTGATCAACTGGTCTCGCCTGAAACTTTATCATGTAAAATTCTTTTCGATATCTCAATAAAATCTCTTTCCTTCGACTCTCCTTCGCATTGCGCAAAATCTCGCCCATCTGATTATAAGATGGAATACTCCCACCGGATGGGATGGGAAATTATTTCAAATGAGTTCTACTTTTTGGAAAATAAGCCCAACGCAATTGAACCACGTATTTTTGATATAAAATAATGAAATTCAGAAAAACTTCTTAGCCGATTAATGTTTACCCGCTTTTGCTATAAAGGGAAAATAACTCCCTAAAAGGTGTCTCAATACAAGTTAAAAAATTAATCACATTATTCCAATAAAATTACACGTTCACTTTTACTTCGAATTAGAAAATGTAATTATAATGAAGTTGCTTATCCTTATATGTCTTATATCACCAATCAAAGTTTAACAAAAATAGGGTAAAATTATTTCAACTTATGCATTATTTACTACAATTTTAAATTCACTTATTCTTCAAACAAATCAAATTGGGAGTTTCCATCAGGAGATATTAGTGTCTGATACAACGAATACCTGTGACTCTCGCAGCAAAAGATTCCAGGCATCGACATCAAAAGGATTTAGTTCAATTCGACGTTCCGGACTTACAATTGAAAGCGAACTCATCGATATGAACTAAAAAATATGAAGAATTCATACAAAAAAAACATATATTTCGACGAAAAAAATATCCATTATTTTCCCCAGTTGGGACTTAAACCAACATCACGAATCACTTTAAGCAGTTTAGTTCGATCCACATATGTAAATTGCGAATATTCGTAATGGATTAACTAACTTAGATCCAACAATTTGGGAAGTATCCTGATACACTAAACGATCAATTTTACGGCTAATACCGCGAGCTTTTTTCTTATATAGAAGATCTTTTCAAAATGCAATTAGTAGTTTTACCATCCTCAAACATGCATCTTACTAAACGATCATGTAGAGCGAGATATCCTGAATATCTGCTTGATCCAGATCACGGTAAATTCACAACGCATCAATGTAGCAATTATTCAACGAAACAAATCACTTGTTTCAGCTCAAGCTTAATTAAACCTAAATAAACAACTCCGTCTACTTTACCTTTATAACCCTCTCAATCTTGGTCATTAAATCACAATGATTCTCTCAATAGCTCCTGAACTCATCATTTTTCTTTCGCCTCTCTCATCCATTTTCATAATCTTTTCCTTATCAAACAATCCATTGTTTTTCCCGTCATACTACAAAGAATGCGTATCTTCCCGGATTTCCTTTGATATCTATCCGTCTATCTACCACTCATTCATGAAACATCCTTTCAATTTCTGATCTCTTCCAAATAATGCAACATTTCGTTGCTCACAATCCCTAACTCATAATATCTTCCAACCTTACTAATCTTTGACTCTCTCCAGATACAGACTATCTCATCTCTCAAAAGAGCATCCAAAATGATTATTACCATATTACCAGACTTTCGTGCTAGGAGCAAAAGGTGGAATAAAAGCTTGACATGATACGGATAGTACATTCACTTAAGTAAGGAACAACACATGAAATATTCCGAACAACCGAGACTTAATCGTTGATTTATATTGCATTAAAGTTTCTCCTTCTGAATTTAAATAGGCCAAGAAGCAAGTAGTGATTCTTGCAAGTCTTCTCGTATTTCTTCTTGATTCCGATGAAACTGAATAAGTTAGGAGAAATGGAACAATTTTTCCCGAAAATTGATTCCAGTTACGACTGCAATTACTGTGAAGAATTTTTTCCCTTAATTTCTTTTTCAAATAATTTTCATATATGAGAACATTTTCAAATTGCAGTTGAAATAAAAAAAAGGAGAAAATGAAGAAGAGAATCGTGTATCTCACTTAAAAAGTTAATCAGTCATTCAGTCGATTGATTTTTTTCTCCTTTTTGTTTTTTCATGAATTTCAAGAAAACTGCCATTAATTCCTACACACACTATATAGTAATCAAAACTTTAATTTGAGCAAAATCAAGGAAGACAAGAAATAGATTTACAATGAGAAAAAGAACTAATACAAGCAAAAGGTTTCACTCTTTCACTCTTGAAATGGATTATCTTGATCCGTGCATTCATCTTCTGAATTAATTATGCCCTAAATTATTTCATTGCTTTGGATGTGATATCATGTGAATCAAAGAATAAATCAGATGCAATTAGTTAAAGTTCCTTTTTTCGTTCTATTATTTGAAAAATTCCATTGATAATTATCAATAATTATGATAATTATCACATGCATTTACGATAATAAAGGAATATATTCTATACATAACTAAAAGATGTATTTATCAATAACAAATGATTTCCATAAAATCAATTTATACAAATATTAGAACATCTTATTTTTTGCAATCTACTGCAACAGGTGAAGTACTTGTCAGAACTGTGCTGTAAAAAAGGTTTGATATATTACTGTGAGTTTACAGAATTCAGACATTTTAAACAGTAACCTTGGAATACTGATAGGCAAGGTCTCAAACTAGCGTTAAATATTCTGAAGTTCAATTCGCAATGTAACAAAACAATTTGTTGATTTCCTCATTATATAAATAAACGGATACACAGAACACGAGTGGACGAATAGTTCCAATTGATTAATAGGAAAAACAAGCTTGCATGAGACGTGTAGTTGCGTATGCAGACTATGTATGTACGAGATCACTACCACGTAATTTTAGAGATTTCGCCATGGTGAAGTGTTAATGGTTCGTCGTCCAGGTGTGCTGAAATTTATTTGGCGTAATTTTTTGGATTCGCTTAGTCGAGAACGATTTCAGAAAGTTTTCGTTGGTAATGATGAGCAAGGCAACAAATACTACGAATTAACCAAATCGAAACGGATTGTTAATAGGTTAGTTAGTGGTAGTTTTTTTTTTCTATTTGAGTATTAAAACTTTACTTAGTTTAAAAATCTTTTTAAGAAAAAATTTTTGTAAGAGTGGATAAACAGTTCTACTTGATTAAGGGAAATACAAGCTTGCATGAGATATGTAGTTGCATATGTAGACTATGCCAATGCCATATATGTACGAGACACTATCACGTTTTTACGATTTATAAATATTGTAAGATAAAAATAATGCCACCTTCTTTCCATTCGGTTTACTATAGATAGAATTACAGGTTACTCTGTTTGATTGTGAAATAACATTCGAATAAGTACCAGTTGTAAGTAAATCACATTAAGCTTTTTAGGGACCGTCAGGATAGATTTCAAATAGATTATGCATTCATTCTCAATAAAATACGAATTTAATTGAATAGATTGTGCAACAAGTTGAATAAATAGCTGTACAATAATTGGAGTCACCTTAAAATAAATGTTCAGAAGAATAAATTAGCAATTTGACAGGTAGAATTAGCAAGGCAGTATGGTAACTACAGCTGAAAGGAAGAAATCATTGGAAAAAAGACTGTTCATTGAAAAAAGTAATCATTGAGAAAAGGAAGAAATCAAGATGATTTTAAACTTAATATTTTATCACATTATCCTGTCGATTGTTAAAATTTTGCTAATTTTAATGATTTTTCAATACCAAAATTATATAACGTGATGATATTGCAACAAAGGTTGAGCCTATAAATTTTATATAAAGACATATAGTTCTCCAAAGTTTATGACATGAAAAACATTATAGAGGTTTCGTTCCGGGAAATAATTCATCTCATGTGCCACCACCAGAATGGCTAACATGGTTACGAGGGATACGGAAATTACCACCTACAGAAGAAGAGATTTTGGCAAATCGAAAAGCTAGTGAGGAGGTTATGGCTAAAATTTAAAATACTGATTTTTTGTAGTTTTCTGTTCACGAATCCTGCCCATCGATTGATCTCTTGTTAGCGCATGGAATAAATAATTTACTCTACATTATAAGTCATCTTTAATTAACATAATCATCCATCATGCAATTATGTATGAGCTATGATATATTACAGAAATTACGTATGTAATTGTTTTGGTTCTATTATTTTCATTGTTGTCATTTGTTATAATCTAGTTATTATTCATGTAATTGTTATTTACCTGGAACTTGACATTTAAAAGGAATCACATATTTTATGGTCATCAGCATTTACTAAGTTTTTGTAGATGGTAGAGAAAGTGGAAAAACTAGAACGGGATAGGAGGAACGGAATTCCAGCTAGTGAAGCGAAGAAGTTGCCTTACGTAGAATCGACAACTATATCCGATGATTTCGATTCACAACCGAGAGATTTTCCACGCTACGTGGACTATGATGAGCAGCAATCGAGAATGTAATGATTGTATTTTTTCATAAAATTTTTTTTCCTCGAAAGGTTTGGACAAATTGTTCTAGAAATGGATCTGAATTATGGTTTAAATTACAAAAGATTTTCACATTTAGCTCTACTTCGGTTAATTTTTGAAATTGCACTTCGAACTTGAGGATTAAAAATGAGATATAAGTTCATCGGTTTCCCTAGCTGATGTTATTGATTAATTGATGGGTCTCAATTAATCAAAGGATGGCTTATGTAGAGGAGTTTTAGGCCAAAGATTGCGGATGTTCTTGGTGCTTCTATAATGATTCTGATTTGTTACTATTAGGTGCATTTTGTGTTGTAAAATATCTTTCATTTACCCCTAATATGCAAACTGTATTTTGCTCCTTGGATTATAATGAATAAACATATTGTTTGTCAGCTTTTATCACGACAATATAAATTGCTTCGTAGCTGCTTCACACTTTTCTGAAATGCGTATTTTTGAAATTTTGATTATCTGACGAACATCGACATAATTGTTATTACCTCACTATGATGTAAAAAGCTTGTGACAATAGAAGCAGGGCAGAACATAATTTTTTTACTGACTAAAGCTGGCAAACTTCATGCTATATTCGGTTAGTCGTTGGAGGATATTGTGGTGCCATGGCATGTATTACGGATTAGGTTGAGTTTTTCGGTTATGTAACATAACTTGTGTTATTTTGAACAGGTTGAGCAATAATCAGCTTATAGCTTTTTTAGATGAATACAAAAGTGTACCATCTACTACGCCGATCGTTTTCTGGTATCTCTAATGTAAAGAATCGATTTTATAAGGTAATCATGAAATTGGATAAATTGTTAACTGACAAAAACATGAGATAACTTAGACGGGAAGAAACAATTTCTTATAAAGAATAAATGAGTTAAAGTGGAGTGACTTTCCATTAATGAAAATTTAAATTTCCATTGGTTGCAGGAAGCACGAGCTGTGTTTAAGCCCACGGAGAAAGTTTATAACATATTCCTTGACAAGAGTTGTTTAATCACACCGAAGCAGAATCCAGTAGAGGTTTTATTTTCTTGCAAATATGAAATATTGTTTTTCTGATATTGTGACATAAAATGGAGCAAAGAAGACTTTTATTTGAACCTGGTATCCTATCCTCATTTGACAAGAAACGATGAAGAAATAAACTATCTCTCAGTTTAGCAAAAAAACCATCTCTTTTTTAGATACATTGTGAAGCACTTGCGCTTGCTGTAGCAGAAGAATGGAACATGCAAAAGGATGAGTTGAGGACAAATTTAATGCGGCTTACAGGCTTAATTTTTACAGCTATCGACAATCCGATGTCGCTAGAAAAGTATACGTTTTTCCTCGAAGTTTATATGATTTTTACGTTTGCATTAAGATGCTCCAATTAACTTGGTCTTTTACATAATTATTTTTAAAATGCCTCTTTGAAATATCATAAGCTAATGCCGGATATTGTCTGAGTATGCCCGGTTTATCTTTGTTGGAGCATTTAGTTCAGATCTCACATCTTGTCACAAGTGCTCCAGTTTCTGGATAAAGACACAATTCTATATCGACTGGAGGAAAACAGTAATTTACTAGAGCTGGAAGAAACAAATTGGAATCCAGTGGTTGAATGGGTAAACTTGGAGTATGGTTTGTCAGTGAGACCGAGTTATTCACTTGTTGAAGGTCAGTTGTGTTTTTAAAAATTTTATGTTAGCTGTAGATCTAGAAAGCTAACTAATTTTTTTACTAATTTTTGAAATATTTGGTGCTGTCATTATGAATGAGTAGATTTTAGCGGATTAAATAAGGAAAAAGGAGAACATCGTGGTTCTCGAGAATTAGCGAAGTCCTGTTCAGCGTTTCTCTTATATCAACAACGGAAAACTTATTAAATTGGATGACAGTGTTGGCTTGAAAATTCTAGATTTAGTGGAGACTTTTAGGATAAAAGCATCCTGCCCTGTAAATGATTATTGCAGTCGCTTTTCCAGAACCTGTGATCGACAATAATTCACGAATTCGTTTATCAAATCAGCTGTCAGATTATAGTTTTCTACAATTAGTCGGCTTACAATATGCCACAGAATCGCTCAAATCTGTGTTTCTTACCTTGGCTGCCTTATCATGTCGTTTACATGTTGATGAAGCCGTTGATCTCGCACTACTGGAACAAAAATATCAAAGTGATATCTGGGGAAAGGTTAAATATTTTTAGTTTAAATATCAATTTTTGTTTTTGTTTGCAAAACCCTGTGGATATGCTCTGGCTTTTTTGCTAAGACCAGTATAAGAGCTTCTTTTTTGTTTACATGATGGCAGAAATAGATTAGACATTAGAATCTATCGCAGAAAATAAGCAATATGTATTATTACGAAGAGCAACAAGTTGTTGCAGGTTGAATGGGCTCATGATATCGAACGAGAAGAGCTAATTTCACGGTTGTCAGCCGGTATACTATTAATGCATTTGGGTGATTTAGAACCAGAATACGAAATGAAATCTCAAGAAAATGAACTTGTGAAAAATGATACAAAAGTTGCTTGATTTCTTCGACTTCTGGCAAATCCATTCATAGGAATTTTCGGTCACAGCTTTAAGTTGTTGCGCATACGCAGGCTTCATAGATAACATTAATTTCTTCTTTTCTTTTTATTAGTATTTTGTTTTTAAAGTGTTGAAAACACGGACAAAAACGAACACAACTGTAGCATCTAGAAATCAGAACAGGTTAGCAAACAAAAAAAAAACGAACACAACTGTAGTATCTATAAATGGGAACAGGTTTAGAAACACAAGCACATATACAGATAGCATGAAACATTTAAAGTGATTTGTTCACATATATTAATATTTGTATATATATCTTTGTGTGTGTATGTGTGTATTTTTATGTTTGTGTGCATTCGACTACATTTACATTATATGACATTAATTTTCACATCTGCATCTAATCGGTAATTATCAACAGAGATTTTTTTGATCTTAATTTTCTAACTTTTATAAAACTATTCGTAACGCTAAAATTTTATTAGTTTTACAACTTATTTTTCATTTAGATTTTATCAATGTGACTAAGATAATCCGAATTTAGGTAATAACATAAGCAATAGTTTGATTTCGATTTGCAGAAGAAGTTGAAGGATCTGAACTTTTTATGTAATTTTAGCATTTGTGAGATTATTTATGCGCTGAAATATATTACTTCTATGTTCAGAAGTGGCAATCAATTATTCTGAAATGTGGGAAGGTGAGGGTGAATGAAAATCACTGCGACGAGGTTTTTTATGATAGTAATCCAATAATTCATGTCGTAATGTTCTTTACTATAATGCAAATCTTCAGATTGTCTTTGTGCGGGAATTTAATACATAATTTACAATTTGCTTAATTTTGCATAATTAAAAAAAGAAACATAAATCTTACAAGAAATAGAATTACATAACTATTGGCATGAGCTTTTTTTTTTGATAGTGAATATCATTTAGGCGAAGCTTAAAATTTACTCTAAAATTACGTTAATTTTATTTATATTTTTTGATAATCAAAATTTCAAGTTTTTTAACGCATTTCTGAACCTCATTATTTCTTTAAGAACACTGTAATATAATGCAAGTTTTCCGTTGGTGAACGAAAAATTAGTAAACTTTCGATAATACTGAAATTCGTATCATATTTGAAATAATTTATTTTGATAAGATCGTATTTTTTTTCCTGCAAAAGAAGTAATAAAATCGGTATTATGTTGCTTTAAGCTAACTGCATGGATATTTCTTATGAAGTTTTTACCTTTTTTATAAAATTAGTAAAAGGCATTTTTGAAAATTATTCTAATTCATAAAAACAATGAAAATTCATTATTATATTGCTAGAAATTCCTCTTCTTGTTCAACACATTTTTAATAGCAGACGTTAGATTCACTTGCAAAGAAGAAATGCAAATATGCAACAAGAAGTTCCATTTCAATCCATTGTTGCATATTTGAAATGGAATACTACTGTTGCATGGATTTCTTATTTAGTGTGAGAATTAACCTTACGCAATCCACATATCGTCGGTTGAAAGCAAAACAATCAGTAAGAGGAAAAAAATGAGTGAAAAATAGAGATGAATGATATAAGAGAGTTTGGAGTGAATTATAATATAATACATCAGAAATATATTTGACGAATTGTATTCCATGACAGGGTTACTTCATTTTTAGCCGGAAGATTTTCTCTTAAAAATTCTTGTAAACATTAGGGAAAAATGATTGTTTGCATCAAATAGAACGAAAGATTGAATTATCAAAACATTTCATATAAAAAAAGGATTGATGCCAAAGAATTAAGTTAAATGTTATATTAGTTTAAATGAGGTTAAGGGTTAACTATAAGTAGGATTGATTTATTTGTCATTTGGATATAATTAAAAATTATTAATATTTTGAATAGTAGGAAAAAAAAAATGCACGTTCGGAATATGTTTGGAATGGTTTGAATTATTATAAATTCATATAAAGTAAAAATTGTTAGCTTTTTGGTTGGAAAGATTTGTTTACAATGTTACTATTTTATCAGATATCGATATATTTTAGATCAGTGATGTCATTGCGTCGATTAACGTTGAGCGGACAGTTTGCACAAAATGAAGGTAAAGTGGAAGAATCAACGACGATCGTTATTGCTAAAGGTCTTTTAGCTATAGCTGTGGATGTTGGAATCGCATTAGCTGTCGCATTTTTTGCATTAAATATGTTTATTGGCAAACTTTTTGAACCATATGAACGTGGTTTCTATTGTTATGAGGTAAAGTTTTCCTTTAATTTAGGATATCGGAATTTTTTCATATTCTAATTTGTTATATTAGTTTGTAGTAGAACGAGCAAATAATAAATGAACAATGTACAGCGATAGTTAGTATATGTTGTTAGTCTTTTTCATACGTGAACAGCATCGTTAATTAAAATATGATGTTATGTTTAAGTTGGTCAATTTTGCTGTCAATTTCTTTTTTTGCCTAGATTTTCGTGTTGATTTCTTTATCCGTTGCTATGGCTGATTTTGTGAAGTATTCATCACGTTTGTAATTTGGCTCCGCACTTTTATAGCTCTTGTAATCGTTAAATTGGATTTAAAATTCGAGAAGAGAATTCATGCGGCGACTGGAACATGTATTATGAATCATATTAAATTGAGTAAATTAAGCCATCTCAACACTTCAAAAAATAATATCGTTTATCTTTGAAATGGCAATGATTTTCTCATATTATTTCTGTAGAATAATGAATTTGTACAAATTGGATTGTTGGCTCTTCCAGTTTTTCCATGTAATTAGAAAAAGTAGTGATATTAACACAATTGTTCAATTTTTGCTCTTCCTTCAGGTACCGTATATTAATAATCCATTTCGTCCAAATACCATATCAACGAAGCACCTATTAGCTGTTTCTATTGCGTCACCATTTCTCGTCATCGTATTAGTAGAAGCTGTGGTTTTTATGATATCTAAAGGTGAAAATAAACTGCGCAAATATTTCCATTTCACTACATCAATCTATCTCATATATCTTGCTTCATTTGTCATTTCAGCATTTATAATGGAGGTATGTTTCCTTCGTATTTTCATATTCTCACTTCAATTTTTACATCATTCGCGTTCACACATTAGCCTAATCCGTTTTTCGCAATTATGAAAGTTTTGAAATTGAAATATATTAAAATATTAACTCTATAATTTTTCACAAGGTGTAGAGATAAATTTCTTATACTTCCAGGTATTGAAATGTACGTTCGCTCGGTTAAGACCGCACTATTTAAGTGTTTGCCAGCCGAACTGGGAGCAAATCAATTGTAACGATCCAAATACTTATATCGAAAGTAAATGTAATTTCTCTTCAATTTAAGCTAATTTGACTGCAGTTGAATAGTGAAGTAAAATACTCTGAGAAAGGGAATAAGAAAAGGACTTACGATGAAAATAGAGAGGATTTTGTACTATTAACGGTGGATTTCAATTGTTTTCAAAGTAATATTGTGCGAAAAGTATTATGAGGAAAAGGACGATAGAGATAGAAGAAATATGATAGAAAATTATTAAAAAATTCAGTTTTGCAGGTTTCAAAATTTTCTAAGAATTTTGAGAGGTTCATTTTAAGATTTTTAGATGGAATTTCTCGTGGTTTTATGTCCTTAATGAAAAATTCTTGAAATATGAAAAGTTTTGTCGAACAATAAATATTTTCATGTTGTTGTTTATTTACAGATGCCAATTGTTTGGGAACTAATATGCATCGGATTCGTGTCGGACGTCAAAGTTTTCCAAGTGGCCATACATCAGCTGCTGTATTGTTTTTTTTATTCCTTTATTTTTATCTGAAAGGTATGTTACTAATAGCGAAGTTTAAGAAGATTACTGATAAAGTTTTTTATCCAAACAGTATACATATGCTATTCTAATTTTTCCTTCCTTGTCTCCGTGAGACAGGGAAGGAATTTTTTGTGACCACATAATCATTTATATATATATATATATATAGAGAGAGAGAGAGAGAGAGAGAATTTGTATTATAAAATTTGTCATTTTTCAGATTTCTATATCGCACTTCTTGTTTTTATCCGTCTTGTTCTAAGATCATTTTTTGACTGTTAAATTAATCAATTTTTGTTTAGGTATAGTTAATGCTACTCGCAGTAAATTGTTACGAATAATCCGTTTCATGGTGCTACTTATAAGTGGTGCATGGACAGTATTGGTGATGACAACGCGTGTAACCGATAATTGGCATTACCCGACCGATGTTTTAGGAGGAATAATATTAGCTCTTTCATGTGCATATATTTTTGTTCCGAAAACTCATTCTTCGTTGGTTTATCAGAATCGTTTACTGCAAAGTATGCATAATACATAATTTCATCTTTTTTCTATTATATGTTGCTGTTATAAATTTAAGAAGGAAAAAGAACTATCCAGTTTTCCACATTTCAAGAATTTTTCAAACCACATATTTTTTTTTCGATTTTGCGGCCTGATTTTGTTTCTGCTGTAGTGTTGAGTTTCTATTTCACCAATGCCAAATGTTATTCCTTGGACATTTCGAAATCACAGGCTGTTCATTAGCAATAACTGAAAAATTTGTATATTATTACCAAACTTATTTTGGAAAATCATCGATAATGGATAAAATGAAGTTATGATAAGTGACCGAATATTAGAGAATAATTTTCCTATTTTTTGTTTTTTTTATGAATCTTAGATTTTCATTATATCTGATATCTGCTTTTGGTGTTATATTCCGATGCTTCCCTGAGCTTAAAGCACTTTTCAAGTCGTTGATTTTGATTGGAGTCGGTTGTTGCATATTCATTATCTTTACTGTTGTCATTGTTGTTTAGATTTGTCAATGTGCGTATGTTTCGAATTTGTATTATTCTTAGAATAGGTTGATAAAATTTCTTCCAGTAAAAATTTGATGACATATTCACCATCAAAATAAATGGCATGTTTTTTTATTGAAATATATCGCTTTTCTGAAGCTAACATTCAAATCCAGTTACGGTATAAATTTGCTACCGTCAAGTGATCGACAGTTTCACCAAAAAGCGATTTTTGACCGCTCGAGATCGAAATTAAAATTCAGATCGTAGTGAAATTCGTTGTCCGAATCTCATAGATTTTTACATGAATTTAAAAATAACATGTGCTAACAAATTAAAACATTTTTTCTCTTTAATTTCTGGATGCTATTTTTCATGAAAATGATTCCATCGGAATTCCATATCAGAAGTTCTATCCATTAATTTCAGAGAGCATAAGTTGTTTCTCAGATCGGAACTGTTGGATTTCGCCTTTATGAAAAAGATAATCTTCATTAGTCACTATAATTATTGTGAGCTAAAATTTCGAAAGTGGACTAGAAAGTCATTCCTCTTGTCTAGTTCTATTTGAACTATGTTTTTTTTTTCTTGAGACGATTAATTTACATTATTTCAGATGAAGCCTGTGTAGTGGGTTACATGGCTTGTTTTGATTCGGAAGAACTCACTGATTTTATTAGACACCAATGCATCATTAATGCTGATGATGATAGTCGATGCAAGAAGATATTGAAACCACCTTCAAGGTATAAAAAAAGTATCAAATTTTCTTGCATTTTTTTGGAAAATTTAGAATATTAACTGTTGTTAAAGGTGTCATTGATTTTTTCTAAGGTAGAACTTTTTTGATTGATTGAGTTGCATTGTGATTGATTGAGTTACACTTCTCTCTCCAATGGTTTGTTCAGCGCACATATGTTTAAGTAGCATTAAAGGTTAACATTCATTTCTGAATGAAGAAATTGAAGTGATCAAAATAGTGGATTGTTAAAGTGTTTAAAATAATGAATTGAGTCAAATTATTGCTCAAGTCTAGAATTTCAAATTGGTTTCAGGAAAGCGAAACCTGGTGGTTTACCGTTGAATTTTCGTCCTGAAGATGATTCTGATACGAGTAGTGGGGAGTATTCCCCATGTTATTTGGTTTGTTGATTCCATAAACCTTACTTCAGGTTTCAGACTATGCTTCATTTTTCAGCAAAATGCTTCCATCGGTTTCAATCAGTGCAATTTACTGCTTGTCAATTTTCAGCAAAATTTGTAAAGTAAATAGAGTAAAGTCGAATTCATAAACTTACCGTTTCTTTTTTCAGGCCTCTGCTAATTGCGAATCAACTTACGAACTGATAGAGGAACGATTACGTTCAAGAATTCAGAAAAATGACTTATTAGGTCTAGATGATGAAGATGAAGCGGTGAAAAATAATCCAGTTGATGCACAGCCGAGTACATCGAATTTGGAATTTTTTCAGTGCTCAGATGTATCCCGTATTCCATTATCATTTCCAGTGAAAAAATCCGTTACTGCACTGTAAGCTGTTTCTTTTTAAGATACTGCGACAACTATTGTTGATTTGAAAATCAGTTTTCATTTTCAGACTTTTGGAGAAAACGGATTTTCTGATCAGCTCTGACCTTGCATCATATGCAAGATTTGCTGCACCGGTATTTTTTTAATGTATGGACTATTTTTCTTTGAAAACATTTGTTATTTTATAAATATGAGAAGTGCTAGGTCTGAATATAAACTTACCAGAATGAAGAATTCTAAAATGGTTTTATTCGATAGGTTCTTGCAACATCGTTAGTATTGTGTTGTATATCACACAGTCCTGATAAAATTCTTTATTTTCAAATAAACCTTTTCCAGAAATAAATAAGCGTTTTTATAGGCATGGATAAAGTTTTGCGTCTATATTTTGCTACTGAAATAAAATCTGTTTATCGCTGATTGCATAGCAAATTTATCGACTACTGCAGAATATCTTCACCTCTTTACCTGTGTAACTACCCTGTTATTTAACTATTCCAAAATATTATGTTTATTTATAGGATATTGAAAATGGTCGGAAACTGTTAGTTTTTTATCCTTTTGTGGAACTTGAATCAAGTAGTGGCAAATGCTTCTCGCTAACTATCTATGCTCAGTGTGACATTTGTATCTCGGATCTCATTGGTTTATGTTGCTATGAATATGCACGGTGTCGAAAAACGAATAACATAGGGCATGTATTTCGATTTTTGTTAATTAATATGGAAAGTATTCCATTCATAGTATGTATTTTAAATAAATTTATTTCATCGAAAAATATGCGTTTTTTGTCAAATAATGCTTTACTAATTTATTGTCAGAAATTTTGACTATTATTGAACAAGCAGAATTTTATTCCACTTTTATTTATACCATTAATGTTCTTGAAATATTAGAGATTTTTTTATACCTCAACAATAAATAGCGGTGGATGGAAACTCTTGATAGACAAGCCATCATGAAAATGTCGAAATTTGCATAAGTTAGGGGGGATTCAAATATATTTTGCATGACCTGAATTTTATATCATTCCGTAAAATCAACACTAAATTAATTATTTTTAGTTCAAATTATCCCTGGTTCAAGTTAGTCTTTAAATCAGAAATGTATTTATGTATTTTATAGATCTGCTACGCATTACCACTTGTTGATGGCCGAAAAAAATGGTGAAGTGGATCGAGATCTGCCCCCAATTGATGGCAATCGTTTACTAAATGAACTTGGCTCATGCTGGTCAACGATCGCTCTGGAGAAAAAGCGAAATCTTAACTGTTCGGAAATGACAAATGTTATCGTGTCAGTTTCGTCGCCGGTTTCTTTAGTAACTTTTCCCAAGTTTGATTCAGAGATAAGTGCAATTTAGGTATACCGTAAGTGGTAAACAATATGAATTTTTAATGGACTCATTAGATGTACCTCTACGATGGCTTCGTGATCAGGCTGTCAAAAAACGTATCGAAGATGAAGGTTCAGAATTCTTGAGTGATTGCCCAGCATGTAAGATATTTCACTCAATCCTTCATCATGAAACAGAACTATTTGATTAATGCTGATTAATGCTAATTATTTGCTTTCGATAATTTAAAAAGTTTGATTGGAATTCTGATTTATTTGCTCTATTTGCATTCTGTTTGCAAAATTGATGAAATACGACGTATTTAGTAAAGCTTCATAACATATTTCAAACCATCTTTTTTCAGTGCGAGAATACGTTTTAGAAGCCGCGAAACAACCTGATGTTGTGTTGGACCTTAATAAACCAATATCCAGCACGGCCTGTTTGGAATTTCTACTTCTGCGCATCAATAGTTTGTTTTGTTTGACTTATTTTCAATATATCTTTTTCTATTGCATATTATTCGCAGAATGTGCAGTTAAGTATTATTTGGCTGAAAATCTTGCGTATGTATAATTTTTCCTCTATTTGCTAGTTCTTCGTTAAATAAAAATTTTGTTAGGTTCTCGAGGTAATTTCATTCTACCACGCTTTTCGAATTTTGCTCAGCGAGATGGTACAACTCCAAAAGTTCATGGCGATTTGCAAAGTTCATCATTTAAACGTCGGCAATGTTCCGGTACATTTTGTAATTCTGTTAATGTTGAACATGTTATCCATCTCTGCATCGAAAGTGAACATAATTAGAAGATATTAAAGTATTCATATTTAAACTGTAGAGAATAATTTTTCTAAAAAGTAAAAAAAATGAAAGAAGTATTTTGAAGGGTTAGATCTCTTGTAGAAAATATTTGGCTAATTAAAATTCAAGTATTTAGAGATTAATCTTTGCTTTGCTTTTAAGATCTGACCGCACAAAGAGCAGAATAGAATTAGTGTGACCATTATTTCAGCGTCATTTATCGATATCAAAGATCCGTTAGATAATTCAATTTGGTTTTGTTCGGTAGAAAAGATTTATCGATACAAACCCAAATCAAGTGCTTTATTAAGTAAGGGTCACTAGCTATAATTATATTCTATTTGATATTTTCATTTTATAATATTAACAATTTATAACTTACTAGCGATGCATTATTGAATGAGATTTTTTAAAAGTCTTTTTAAGTCGTTGTATTCACTTAAAAAATCTAAAGCAAGCTACAAAAAAATTACCACATCAGAATATCTCTGTTTTATTATAGCCATTCGAACGGATGGTTTTGAATTGGCACCAAGCCATTTGGATGGAATAGGGAAACGAAATTCCGTATTTTTGAATCGTTCACTGAAAACCTTATATGTGACATGGGATTATGTTGGTGGAGTTGAATTCACTGATCGCTCGAATTGTAATTTCGCATTCTTTGTTAATTAACAGTCTACTATCAAAGTTTTGACTGTTGCTTTTATTTCCTAAAATGGATACTCCACAAATCGTTTGATCATTTGATGACTCATGTGTTGCTTAGATTACCCTGATCGCTGAATAGCAATATTATACTCAAAAATTCTGATCCGACATATCAAACAATCCTGATATCTCTTGTTTTCATATTCATTGCCACTCTCTTCTAATGTCTTATTTCATCTCTCAATACTTATGCTTTTTATTTGCAGTAAAACGAGGAGTGAAAATTATTTGGTTAGTATATCGACCAATAAAGCATAAGTCAGAAGTATTAAAAATGAACGAACTGGCTAGTAGATCGTGCGATTCGACACTGACTTTCGAATCAGATAGATCAACTGAAAATAATGAATTATCAAGGAGAAAGGTTAATGATATTCACTGGCAGTTATCATGGGTTCGATTCATGTCGTAGTGCATTTGTTGTTATGCTATCTTTGATTAACATTAGGCTGCATTTGGTGTTAATAGTTAATCGGTATTATCGACACGTATCTTGAATCATTTTATTTTAGCTGTACAATGATGCACGCTGGAAAATATTGAAGTTGGAAGCAGATGTCGATGATGCTTGGAATATTACAAAGAGGGTTTGAATTCTAATTTCTTTCTGAAAGATAATAATGCGATAAAATTTAGTCAGTATCATGAATGCTCAATTGCCAACACATATATAATAAGTGATAAGTACATCACTAACATAAATAGTGACAAATGTGAAACTTGCTGACATAATGACAACGCTCGACTAATTTGGCAAGTCATTTACAATCGAGTTAAATCTACCACTTCATAGCGAGATTTCTTCATATTCTATGAATTCTTATGCTACTGGTTAATTATCCTTGCAGATAAATACTATAATCGATGACGTAAATTCAGTAGTTCGTCAGATTTATAAATATTCAAATGGTGGATCCAAGAAACCAAAGAAAGCAGCTGCAGAAGCGTTTGGTAGTGATACTGGTGCACAATTCAGAGCACAAAATAGTCCTATTAATCCTCCGGTCCGCAGGGTATCACGAATGACTTCTGCTGTGACAGGCATTGTTCCCGTATTATTGAGATTGTTATGGAAACATAATTGTGATTGATATAACCGTGATGATATAGTTTAGATTTCTTAGGTAAATATTAGGTCAGTAATAAGGGAAAAGCATTTCCAGTTTGCAAGCACTTTTATTTGGTGTATTTTGAAGCTATGTTATATTGTACAACATTACTTAGGTACTTCTAATCTCTTCCTCTCAAACGGGTAGTGTTCGTTACTGATTCGAAATCTTTAAGCCATTAATTCTGATAGCAGAATTTGAATTGTTTTACTTAACCATCGAATTTGGTCTTGATCTTGCATCCTGGATTTATGAATCATTCCTAAAGAATTCTTGTTTTTGAAAACAAGAAATGTTCCATTCCAGATACGATGAATCTCCTTCCGAGAAAAAGTTGAAAAAATTTTTGGGGATTATTTCGATATCAAATTTTGCTAAACGTGCAGTTTTTATTAAACTTACACTTTGTAACAAAGTATGAGCAAATGATCAACGTAACTTATATTTCGCTTAAACTAAAGCAAGGTATTACACTGAAAGCAAATAGCTTCTTGTTTAAAAGTCAGAATCTCGAGAAAGAAGTTAGAAGGTCAAATGTCTGCAACAGCCCTAAATCTTTTTCGGCATTGTCTTTTAAATCTATGATGTCTCATATGCAATCGCAATGTTTTTCTTCTGTCTGTGCTATGATGTCTCATATGCAATCACAATGTTTTTCTTCTGTCTTTTATATTCAAAAAATGCTATCTCTAAATATCCCAAACTTAATTATTAGCTCTTTCGTTTTCTTCTGAAATGATGTTTCATGTTTCTTAAAAAAACTCATGAGTGTTCCAGAAGATAAATACATATCACATTCCAGGACTTTTTGAGTGAAGCACTACAAAATTTGTTAAATCGCATCCGAGGTTAAAACGGGAACTCCGGAAAACCTTCGACAAATGCTTGGAGCAATGACTATAGTCCATTCCACCAAAATGTACTATTCTCCATCTACTTAGTACGAGTCATATTTCACCAATTAAAATTGGAGATTGCAATTTCGCTAGGCGGTTTTTAGTTTTCGAATGAAATCATTGTGACAATGAATTTTGGAATCAGCTGTCCATTCATTTAGTGTATTCAGGTTATCAGTGTGTAGATGTTTGTTGAATTCCTTGCTCAATTACACAATTCAATTTCTACATATGGAATACGTCAGTGGTTGTTTAATTTCTTCTATCGTAATTAATAAGCTCAGACTAATGATATTGGTATACCTGTTAATTTAGATGAAACTCAGTCATTTCGACACTGGTCATTAATCATTGAAATATTTCATATCGTCGGGAATCATGTCTGGATGTCGTATTGTTGGCGCTTATTATCTAATTCTAAATGAATTATTTCAGGTTACTGAGGTCCTGAAGATGCAAGGGATTGTCCATCAATCATTTGAGAGGATTTAATCATTCAGTTGAATGTACACCTTTATGAACAATAGATATGAAAAATTATTTTCCAAGAAAATATTATATAATATCGACTTTCTATCTTTCAGATATGTCTGTTGTTTAAAAGAAAGCATTTTGATTTATTTATGTACCCTTTTATAACTCGTTATCGTTTTCAAAAATCTAGTTTTCATTCTTTTTTTTTACTTTTACAGTTGATTGTAATGGCAGACCGACGTAAAGGTGGAAGAAAAAAATCCAGCGATGTAAGTGCTATTTTCGTTATTCTGCATATACACATATACTGATTCGTTAAGTGGATTATAAGAATCGGTAATAAATAAACAAGGAATTGAATGACCTTGAAAATCAAGAATCGTCAATATACTTGATTTTCTTATTTAATTGAAATTCGTCCTTTCTGTTATGGATCATGTCTAAATATTTCCCGAAATTCATACTAATTCTTCAGATTATATCCATCACATTAATCATCAAAAGTTGGAATATTGCTGATTTAAATGCTTCGATTCTTTTTTTTGACAGTAGAAATTTCAGCCGAATCAAAAGCTGACAAAAGATGAAGATAGTATTGCTCGCTACGTTCGATTCAATTGTCCAACAAAGACAACAATGTTTGAAGGCAATGAAGTACATTACTTTACCGGTATTAATTTGCTTTTCTATAAAAGCACTTTCTTTTATATGTTTAGCAGAAAAAGGCACCTAATAGTCATAAGTGCTTAAGGTGTGAAGGCTGTTGACACATTATATGAATCCAAGAAATACGGTCATGCAGCGAAAAATATGAGATTCGCTACACGGCAGGCAGCTGCTATGTTCATGCGCTCACTCCTGGAAAAAGGTCTATTTTTTCGGGCAAGGAAGTTGGTTCCAAAAAAGAAGGACGATAGGAAGGTTATCCTTAATTTCTGTATAAAGATTACACAATATTTTCGTTGTCTATCGACATATTTCTTTTCACAAATGCAGATAACGAATACGAGAATTTTAGGATCAGAAAGAAAAAATTGATATAAACAAATCACCGAAAAAGAAACCAGGTAAGAGCGACCAAACTGAAAAGGAAAAGGAAAAAGAGAAAAATAAAGAAGAAAGGAAAGAGGAAAGTGATGACAACGATGAAGAGAATGGGAAAGAAAAGAACAAAAAAAAGGTAAGTTGTTCATTTTAATTTACGATTCTTATGTTGTACTTTCAGGAAGAGGAAGAAAAGAAAAAACGTAAGATCAAATTAGAACTACATCAGGAGCAATCATTTAATGATGCAAACGATGTGTATGTTTGGATCTTTGATCCAACACCCCTATTCAAGAAGGTTATCGGTGCTCTTATGGGTTAGTTTTTCATTTCGTTGTTCACTAGAACTTAATATTATTGTAGTTGCATGCAATTTTAGGTAAGGAATTATTGACTTCCTTATTGTAGAGGTTCTCTGTGCTTAATAAGCTTAACGAGTTAGGATTTGATGAAAATCAAGAAGGAAACTTAGCATCGACGAGTCGGAGTGGGAGGATGACGTCCATATAGAAATTGCTGTACTTCTCATGTTTATCTTCGATTTCTGTGCTAGTCTACTTTGTGCTTAGCCAGTAATAGTATTTAATTCCTTTTATAAATACTTTACTATTCAGCAACAATTAATATTATCAAATGATGAATTACATGTTTTAAGATAGTTACAAACCTTGTTTTATTCTTCATCGTGTTGTGAAATATATGTGGAGTCTCTAGAAAGTTTTTTTATTTTAATCATAAAGTGAGGAGCAGTATCTGCGGTGTGGTGAAGGTTCGGTAGAGAAGCCATAAAAAGCCATAAGACCATAAAACCAAAAAGACAAAAATGCTTGGTTCATCTCAAATTATTTTAGTGCTGGGTACTATCGCGGGTTGTTTATTCCCTCTTTGGCCGATGTGGCTACGTCAAGGAGTTTATTATTTATCAATCTGTGGATTAGCTTGCTTTGGACTGCTTATTGGTGTTGCAGTAGGTAAAATTTTAGATTTTCAATTTAGCACGCTTGTCGTTAGGGCGAAGTTTGTGAATTTTTTTTATTTAATCATTACAGCGCGAACAATATTATTTGCCATAATCTGGGCAGTTACTATGGGCAAACATAAATTATGGTTGTTGCCTAATTTAACGGAAGATTGTGGCTTTTTTGAATCATTCCAACCTTGGTATACTTATGAATATTGTTCTACTGGTATCGCCGCAAGTAGCAAGAAGAAAAAAAATGATGGAAAGAAGAAATCCGGTATCTTTTTCCTTTTAATAACTTTAGAATATAGCTTAAATAGGATTCATATAATGGGTGATGCATCGATGTCATATGTCTGATTGATCCCAATGTCGCTAAAGTGAATATTTATCAGATGATGATGAACCGTTAACGAGTAAGAAAGAAATGAAGAGTGATGATAATGGAAGTCAAAAAGTTGAAGCAAATAAGAAAGTCGAGGACGAAAAGCAATCCCGAAGAAAAGAAAGTGGAGATGAAAATGTCGCTTTTTCCAATGGAAATGAAAATGATGGAACAGATGAAGAAGGGGATAGTACTTCGGATTCGGATGATAGAAGCAGTCAGGTTGCTCACAGCTCAATTTTTTAAAATTTCACCTCTTTAAAATGAAATTATAAAAAAATTTGCATTCTTATATAAGAAGTTTTGCATTGTCAAATATTTTAGGAAATAGAAAAAAAATTCATCCTTAGTTTTGTTTTTCTAACAAGGGTAGGAGTTCTTATCGTTTATTGAATGGTAGCAGTCGTTCGTAGTACTGTTATTGTTTGATAAGTTATGATTTTTAGAATATGAATTTTTTGGATTTCAGTATTTTTGGTTTATATTTTCCAAAACATGGAGAAGTTTTTATACTACCGGTCGTATTTTTAGCAAATAGTGCATGTAATAATTTCCAAAAATTTACTTGTTTTTTTCTTTTTTTGAATTTAGTTTGTTTTTTCGAAATTGCTTTTGTTATGATTTAGTTTTTCTTTAGAGAACGACTGATTCGCTGAACAATGGCGGTGATACTGGAAGTTGTGGTGACGGTAATGATGACCGTAAGATACGATTAAGAGGACATGCTAGGAAACCAGATGATGATTTCGTACTTATTGATAAATGATTGTGGTGCGATTAAATATTATTTATTTAAGATTATCTTTTCTTATACTCCGACTGTCTAATAGTTGTTACAGGGATAGCAAGTAATAGAGTATCGGAAGATCAAAGCTCATTAACAGCAGGCTTTAATTGGCATTCGAAAAGTATGCTTTAAGAGGGAGATCAACATTCTATCGTAATGGTTTGTAAATAGATGAGATTAGACTCTTTCACTAACCTCTCAAATATTCTGAGTGTTTTATTTATGATTGCAGTGTATCTTTATGTGTAGCCTGATTCTTTCGATGGTTGAATGATTAGGCATGGTATTTCAATGGTATGGTTGAAAGGCACGTCCTTTTTTTTGTAACTTTTTGGAATAAAATTCTATTTCATTTCAAATTTCCTAAAATTTATTTCAGCTATCTCTTTTTTTGAACAGCACCTGATCACTTCTGAGTTCTTATTCAAATATCTTCAGTTGGATTGTAGATCACTTTCATAGCGCTTCCTTCATGCGATCTGTTCGTTCTAATTCATTGGCTGTTATATATATGAAATTTGAAAAGAAGGTAAATTAAAGAATAATAGACTCTTAGCCAATATTTTTTTCTTCCTCCTGTTATATACTTTTTATGATGTAAATATTGTAATTTTTAATGCTGCTTTCCGAAACAGTTCATTTCGTATTCTTTACATAATCTTTCTATTATATATCACATTCTCTACATAATTCTGATTTAGATTACTGTGCTTGTTTGTGTTGTAAGCATCACTGTCATATATTATATATTTTCCTCATGAATAAATTTTGACATTGATTTCATACATAAAAGGTGAAATTTAGGAAAAGTAGAAAATTTCTTCATTTCCAGCAACTTGTCTTTTTAATAAATAACTTAAGCATTAATGGGAACGATTTGATGGATGATACCTCAGATTTCCGTTTTGGGTTTTTTCTTACTTACCCTTTGGAGTTCATGTTCTAATATATGTTGAGTAGTTCTGATTATTCTTTAAAGAGAAATATACTGTATCAGCCTTTGCATTTCTTCGATAAATTTATCCAAGTGGTTAGTTTAGTGTTATGAGTATCATCAGTTAAATCAAATTTGCCATTCTTTAAAGAGCAATATACTACACCATTGTTTGCAGCTTTTTGGCAAATTTTAACTTTACTGGTTTAAGTTGACTCAAAGCGAGATATTTGATCTGAGACCGGTTATCCGGTTTTCCAACGATCATTTGATGGTTTTTCCTGATGTTCTTCACAAAGCAATTGCCAGTCTTGCCTTCTATTTATATGACGTTGAATTACTATTTCATTTTTTCTTTTTTTAACTTTGATAAGCAAAAACTACTGACATGCTTTACAGGATAAAATCTAGAGTAAATAGGAAGTACAGTTAAATCATTTGGTATTACTTTTCAGTGCTGCAAATTTTAATTACTTCTGTTAGGATACTTTTGACCGTTTCAATCTAGTAGCACGAATTATTGATTTCGTTGGAACTTGTTGAGCTTTTACTCGTTGCCAACATAATAATGCATTAGCATCCTTGGCACTACTCCATTGCATACCAACCAGCGTATAAAGTATCAGGAAACGATCCTGAAACACATCATGTCTATTTTTGACTGAAAGCTAAAAACTAAGCGATGACTAGATTACTATTTTCTCAGTATTGTTTTCAGTATTTTTAGAATTTCAACTAATAATGAAAAAATACAAAGATTATTTGCAATCGTACTGTTGCATCAATTTCACAATCATGACGATATATTAAGATGACCGTTTCATGTTCCGGACGTAATATGCCAGCGCAATCCAAAATACTGATTCGACTATTTGACGTACACTTAATCTGAAATCAATTGCGTAGAATTTGAATATTGAGTTGAAATTATTAGCACAGATTATATGACCAACTGATCGGTTAATAATAATCTAAAGTGATTAAATAGTAATAATTAGAGTGATTGTTTTTATTTTTAATTAATTTCATTTAGCTCATTCCAATTATGGCAATTTTAATTTAAAAAGTGCATAATAATTTACGGAGCTTCCAAATGATGATGTTAATTAACATTTTGAGATCAATGAAATAATTTATCATTAAAGCTTATACTACCTTGTAAAGAATAGGATAATTACTTGAATTGCGTAATATTATTGTTGATGAATCACCTAATTTTAGCTGAAAAATTTATCCACTATATCCATGCTCATTTTTTAATAAAATTAAATATTCAATTTACTGTATTACATGAACAGAGATTATGTTTCACAAAGCTAACATACAAATATACCCGGTATATGATTATCACCTTAACTGATACCGTAAATATTTACTGCTTCGAATAATTTGAGAATGAAATTGCTAATTAATCAAAAATTATTATAGGGTTAAGCTTATTTAATAATTAATGCAAAGTTAAGCTTTCCCTCTGATGTAACGTTTAATGATTTAAATTAAATTTTTACCATTCCTATGCATTTGAAGATTTAAATTCTTACCTCCTTTTTCATAAATGCTTAATTGTTTCGATAATAAATTTAATCACCGAAAAAACACTTCAAATAGATTATTCCCACATTTTATAATATCAAATCAATTCCTACCATCGCTATTCAACTGCAGAATTGAATCTCTACTAAATTGCTTACGGTAATACAGTAATGACAGTAGCTTACAGTAATGACAGTTGGCAACACATGAAATCCATTAAAATTTTTGGGCATTTTTGGGAATTCCTCCATATCAAATGCTTCAGTTGTACCACTCTTACTCATAACTATTTCAAAAAATGATATTTAATAAGAAAATTAAATTTCATTCATATGCAAAAAGAAGTGTAACAAATTATTGAATCAAAATAATCAAATCAAAAATTTCATCCATTTTAGTTATCATAAAAAAAAATGCAAGAAATTGACAGCATAAATTTGCATATAAAATATGATAACTACACATATAAACTTATTAATCATCAATAAAAATTTCAAAATAATATTGTTGATGAAGGATATAGACAAAAATATAAAGCTGTGATACATTTAGCAAAGAAATAATAAAAGATTATGAAATGATAAAATTTCGAAAAACATGTAAATTCATTTTGCTAGATTCTCATCCTTGAAGATCCCTTTGATGATAGCTTCTGAAGTTGCAGTCATCAGTAAATTCCCAGTTATTGTCCACAAATGATGTTGAATAAATGCTCTGCCACATTCTGAAAATTCAATTTTCATAATCAATAAAATAGAAATATCAAATTTAATTTAATCAAAAACATTTATTGTTTTGCAACAATTAATAATTAAATGATAGCTATGAAATAAGAAATAATCATTTCACAAATATCAATAATCTTTTATATAAACAAAATGCTAATTTATCTGTATCATTTCAATTACTTATAGGTATAAGTAATTGAAATGATATATTTGTACGCATTATTTTATTTGTCTCAATAAAAAAAAGAGGATCTCTCGGGATAATTTCAATAATTTTAGCAATAACTTATGATTGAAACAAATGAAAAATTATGGAAAACAAATGAAAGTAATTAAGTAATTAAATGAAAGTAATTAAAACGATGAAAAACAAATGGAAATAATTAAAAATGATCATTTAATATTTTGCTAAATTATTTCAAATATTTATTAGTAAATTAATCACAGTTATTAATTATAATTGATAATAATGATTTAAAGAAAATATAATTTTTACTTGCGATAGAGAAGTGATTTTCGCATAGAAGCCATTCATTATTATCAATATCATTGCTATGTATCCATAAGCAAAAATCGATTGGTTCAAATTTAGTCGGTGAGAAACCACGGCTAAAAATATATATCATTTGGAAATAACAAAATTAAAATTATAAAATTAAAATCATAACAAAATCACAAAATTAAAACAATAACAAAATTATAAAATTAAAACAATAACAAAATTATAAAATTTTCCCAATCATTTTCTTCTTTTTTCATCTACTAATATTTATTCATTCATTTCGTAAGTTTTGTCAGAACGTTAATTTTTTAGTTGTATACTATTAAGATCTATGATATCGATCACACATGCGTTATGTAATTAAATAAATTGATTTAAATTTATAACTTCAAAAGTATACCTGTAAAATGATACTTATAAGATCAATAATTACTATGGTAACATTTTTAAATTATCCATAAATGATAACCAATTTAGCATAAATATTGTTAAGTAATTATAAAATAAAATAAATCATTCAGCTGATAAACAATAAAATTAGATATTAAATCTAATCTACCTGATAGAGTAGCGAAGCATAGATGGTAAAATTGTTGTTTCCATAAAATATGCTGCCAGCAATTTGTGATAATTTAAATTTTCATCTATAAAATTAAGTAATAATAATAATAATTGTAACTTCTTAACATATTCTGAAGGAAAAAATTGCTAAAAATTAAATTTGGAAAATTTCATTAAAATTAGCACATACCAATTTTTTCCTTTGTTTTAGCCCAAATTTTAGTATAAAATCCTTTTATTGTTGCTAATGCAAATGAATCAGCATCAACAATACGAATCTATAATTTCACTTATTTTCTTTTCTCCTCTTTCTCATATTTGATATTTTCTGCAGCACAATTGAAAGAATACAAATTACATAATGTACGTATGTGAATGGACTAATTGCTATTTTGAACAAGAAGAAGATAATTAACATAATTTATTAATTTTAATAGAAAAACGGTTTCTAGAAATATTTTATGCTAAGAAGAAAAGTGTCACAATAATAGGTGTAATTATTTTTGAGTCATAAGAATATATGAGGACAGTATTCAGCATTGTTTCTAATATCAGTGGAAAATTAATATCAAAATAATCAATGATATAGAATTAACGAATCAAACAACTTACATCAAATATATCATTGATAGGATTCAATAAGACTGTATCAGCGAATTCACGGATTTCCGGTGATAATGGAAATGCTTTTCCATCCTTCTTTTCTAACAGTTGTTTAACTGCTTCTGATAATGAATTGCAAAATTCAGGCATCGGTGTTACAGGTAAATGACACTGATGCATTATTGATTCTCTACATACCTATGAAAAAATTTCAGCAATTTCAAAATATTATATAAGATTTATGTAATCGATAAGAAGGCATAGTAATACAATTGTGTTTTATAAAACAATATTAATTACTATATACTTGCTAGGAATAATTCATTTATTACCCATTCTCGCATAAACATAACAATGAAATGAAATTACCTCATGAAATGAAACTTCTGATTTAATTGCTAATTTATCACTTTGTAATATTTGAACTTTTCGAATACATAAATCATCACGTGTATGAACATCTTCTATCTGATATAAAAGTGGTAAAGATTCGGCTACTGAAATTATTAATTAAAAAATTAAATTTGCAACTTTTTTTCTTGGGCATTTATTATTACACCATTATTATTATTAACATTAACAAAATTATCCGTATCATCTTGGAATCATATCTTCCCTTAATACTGTCGTATTTTCAACACTATTCTTTACAACCAAAAATTTTCAATTGTTTGCTAATTATTGAAATTGTTGGGAGCGACGAGAAAGTTGTAAATAAGAAAGCATTAGGTTATAGATTATTTGCTAATGATTGCATTTTTGCATAACAAATTTAACTTATGCATAAATTTTCAAAGTAATAAAAAGAGCTTATCATTGCAACTTATCAATAAGACTTCCATTAAGTTATCATTGCTTTAAGAAAAACCAACAAACTAAATTAAATTAATATGTAATTAAAGAAATTATCTGAAATAATGGCTACTTTTGTTACAAAAATATGTGTGACAACTGTTGACAGCCATTTTTTGTGGAACATTTTGGATTGCAGTTGCCATTGCACGTGATACGATTAATCCGTTAGAAGTGGTTAATTTAGTTGAATCACATCTTCAAAACTTTCTTAATCATTCCGCTAATTATTATCATTTTATCAAAATTTCACTTTATGAACAAAAAAATTGAAAATTAATTACTTGCAAGAAATTAATATAAATACTAAATGAATCATAATGTTTAATCATTTAGTCATCAATCTTCAATGCTCCTGCCTATATTTCGATAAAATCTTTTCTATTTTTAACTTTATATTACAGGATGTATATTATACATGCTAAAATTATATTATCGTAAAATTAAAAACTTGCAAAAACGTTCTTGTTTGTTTTCAACAAATTATTTATACAGTTAACTGTGATTTTCGCTGCTTTAGAAATATAATAAATAATTAATTTCAATTAGCAATTAACAATAACCTATAAGTGTTAGCATTCATTTTCTCCAGATCAAATAAATTTTTGACATCCATCAAATTGCCAGTAACCGAATTTGAATAACGAAACAATTGTTGTGTTAGTCGAATATTGCGATGTAACGCTGTAAAATTATTATAGTATAAAAATGTTAGAAAAAATTTTCAAATGAAATTACAATCAGGACAGTCACTTCGAATATCTCTAAATAAACAACGATAAATTTTGAATTTAATATTTGATAAGAAAGATATCAGTCTAAATTTGTCTCTTTTCTTTTATACTATAAAATATTTAATTAGAAAAAGAAAAAATGTAAAACTTCATTCATTTATTTCTTTTAAAAATTCTTTTCTCTTTTGTAAATATGTTCCATTATTTAAATGTATCGTTTATTTAAATTACAATAAAAGGTAATTTTTATTCCGACGAAACATTTCTTCTTATCATACGTTATCATTTTGATAAAATTTCTTATCATAAAATTTAGCTCTGAATTTTTTCTTTTCAAATTTTAAGAATGAAAAAAATGCAATAGAAAGATAAAGAAAGAGAAAAGAAGTATTAAAATAAAATTAAATAATGAAAGCGAAAAGAAAGCCAGCGATAAAATCGTAATAAAACGAAGTGATAAAATTAATCAATGAATGCTAATTAGCATGATTTAATTAATTGTAATCAATGATTAGTAGAAATGATAATAGGTAGAATTCTTTCATCATTTATTTCTATAATTGCCAAGCGGAATTTGATGAAAATGATTTCAAAAAAGTAATGTCAAAATAATATCAAATAATAAAATTCAATTAATTATTTTGTTGAAAATGCTAATTTTGTTGTGTTATTTGATTATTACACCAATTAAATAATTTATAAATGAATAGATTAAAATCAAATAATAATTAGCTATTAATGAAAGCATTACGAATAATATTTAAAAACAATTTTATGCAAATATTTTCAAAATAGTAAGCTAATAATGCTAAATAATAAAAAGGAAAAAGGAAAAGCAAATGATCGAACGGTGAATAAATTTAAAATACTATCAATTATTTAATTTTACTTACTTACCTATTTATTAATTTTAACTAATATTAAGCCTTTATAGCAAACCTTGTGATTATTTTATTTTATTCATCAAATTTCATTAATTTTAAATTATACTACTTACCTAATTATTTATTAATTTTGAATTGTACTACTTACCTAATTGTTTATTAATTTTAAATTACACTACTTAACTAATTATTTATTAATTTTAAATTATACTATTTACCTAATTATTCATTAATTTGCATTATTTACCTAATTATTTATTAATTTTAACAAATATTAAGCCTTTATATCAAACCTTACGATTATTTCATTTCATTCATCATATTTTATTAATTTTAAATTATACAACATAATTAATATAATTATTAATTATTAAATGCTATTTATTCTTTTTTTTAAAAAAAAAGACTAAAATTCCATTCCTTCGATTGTCATGCCTAATATAAAAAAGCCTATTTTTATTTTTAATATTTTAAATGGTCAACGAATGAAATTCAATTGAATTTAACAAACCAATAATAGAATAGATAGGAGATGAGGAGTGAAATAAGCAAACAACCATACTATAATGAAATTTGTTTATTTAATAAAATTTAATTTTTATTGGCTTACTAAACGAATCATAATATTGCATAATAAAAATTTTGAGAAAAATACACCAACAAACAAATAAACAAACAAATCAAATCTAATCTATTTGAATGATTAAATAGAAAAATCATCAATCAAAATAAAAAATCAATAAAATTCAATCAATAAAATTTTTAAAAAATAATCAATCAAAATAAAAAATCAATAAAATTCAATCAATAATATTTTTAACTAAATTTTTAAAAGTTATTCAATCAAAATGAAAATCAATAAAATTCAATCAATAAAATTTTTGGCCAAATACTTGAAATCTAATCTATTTGAAAGATTAAATGAAAAAAATCATCAATCAAAATAAAAATCAATAAAATCCAATCAATAAATTTTCTAAAAAGAAAAAACACCAATTAAAATAAAAATCAATAAAATTCAATCAATAATATTTTTAACTCAATTTTTAAAATCTAATCTATTTGACAGATGAAAAAATCATCAATCAAAATATAGATCAATAAATCCAATCAATAAAATTTTTAAAATAAATTCCAATCAATGAAATTTCTGAAAGAATGGAGGAATATTTTTCCATAAATAAAAACAATAGGAAGTTTGTTTGTTTGTTGTTTCTGAATTTAAACAAATATCCATTTCAATTATTCATATTTGTATTTCAGGATGAATATTTTTAGAATAAAAACTTTTTGCGAACAAATTAACTTAATTTTTCTTATAGTTAAAAGCATTTAATACAGAGAAATAATTAACTTTAAATTTCATTAAAAATAAATTTTAAATTAGTTATTTTCAGTAACAATCAAAAATTCACAATTAAAAAATATTTAATACCTTATTTAGCTTTTATCTTATTTATTTAGCTTATAATTGTTATGCGATAAAAGAACATGATATTTAAGTATTTCATTTCACTAAAGTTGCCAACGAAAAGAGAAGTTTGAGAATATCGAATTATCACCATATCACTGAAGAAATTTCTGATAAAACTTATCTGCTTCTCTTGTCAATATTTAATTAAACTTTTTGTTATGCTATTTTACGATCATATTTTTATAACAAACCATTTATCCCAATTTTTTATTAATTATTTTTTAATTACAAATTAAAATAGTTCGAAAATATGTAAAATATAATTTTAACTTTTTGCATATATTAGTTACTAAAACTATCTTACATAAGTTTATTAAAATAGTTCAAAATTAAGTAAAAAGTTTATTAAATTGATAATAAAATAGCAAACTATTATTAAATTAAATTGTGATAAATTGAATTTTCCATTTTGCCAATTTAATTCAAACAATTTTATAGGTGACAGCTAAATAAAATAATGCGACAGTATTGCATTACTCATCTAATTGTATTCAACAGTTAATTTTAAATTTTATTGGTGACAGTTAAATGAAATAATGCGACAGTATTGCATTACTCATCTAATTGTATTCAACAGTTAATTTCAAATTTTATTGGTGACAGCTAAATGAAATAATGCGACAGTATTGCATTACTCATCTAATTGTATTCAACAGTTAATTTTAAATTTTATTGGTGACAGTTAAATGAAATAATGCGACAGTATTGCATTACTCATCTAATTGTATTCAACAGTTAATTTCAAATTTTATTGGTGACAGCTAAATGAAATAATGCGACAGTATTGCATTACTCATCTAATTGTATTCAACAGTTAATTTTAAATTTTATTGGTGACAGTTAAATGAAATAATGCGACAGTATTGCATTACTCATCTAATTGTATTCAACAGTTAATTTTGCTTAATGGATTTTGAAAAAATTGTTTTCATTTTTCTCAAAATTTCATTTCATCGTATTTTCCTACTTTTGTGATAGAATCCTTTGTGATAGAACCTTTATGATCAAATCGTGGAAAAAATTCTGCAAATTACATAAATTAAAGAAAGTGATCAAACTTTTTTTTCTTTTTCTTTAAACTTTATTTTTAAAACTTTTTACTCTATTAAATATCAAATTTCTCTCCTTTTGTTTTTGATTGATAATTGGGAAATTTTAATGGTAATAACAAACAGTTCATTGGTATGAAATTAAATGAACATTAATTTCAATTATCATTTTGCATTCATATTTGAATGCTTTTCCACTGATAGCGAAAATTTATCTTATTTAAAACGATCAAAATAGAAATTTAATTTTTAAGACAGGAAGAAGTTAACTTATTTTAGGACAGGAAGAAGTTAACTTATTTAAAATGATCGAAAAAGAAATTTAGTATTTAGGGATAGGAAAAAGTTAACTTATTTAGAATGATCAAAATGGAAATTTAATTTTTAGGGACAGGGAGAAGTTAACTTATTTAGAATGATCGAAAAACAAATTTAGTATTTAGGGGCAGGAAAAAAATTAAATTACTTAAAACAATCAAAAATGAAATTTAATATTTAGGGACACAAAAAAGTTAACTTGTTTAAAATGATCGAAAAAGAAATTTAATATTTAAGGACAGGAAGAAGTTAACTTATTTAGAACGTCAAAAAGAAATACATATAATGAATGGAAATTAATGGTAATACTATGCTTAATTATCTGTAATGTTTATTTACTGAATTATATTATATTAGTTAACTTAACTATTCAATCCATCGAATAGTTTATTCATTTTTTTTTAACGAATTATTAAAACTTTTCATTATTTAATTTAATTCACTCTAACAATTAAAAACAAAGAAATGAGTTGCTTTTAAATATTATTTAAAATTTTAAACTCATAATGAAAAAGCAATTAATATCATTTATAGCATAATGATTATTTGAAAAAAAAATACAAATCATTCATTAGTATATTAGTTTTAATTAATTAAACATTAAAAAAGATTATTAGCAAAAAAAAAAGAAAACAATCATAATTACCAAGTTTTTGTGACAGTTTCAATTCTCGTCCAAATATTAGCGCATATTGAATATCAGAATAGTGCAACATCATCATCATCATTTGCATGTTCAATAATTTCATCACTCATTCGAAGTGCAAAATGTGATGAAAAATTTTTCAGCAGTAGTTTTGTTTACTCAATCTCTAAATGATATTTATATTTTCACTTGAGAAATGTTTTCTCGTATAAAAATCATTGAGGGAATGGTGTGAATGAGAAGAAGTAAAGAGCATAAGGTTAGAGTATCGAGGATAATTGCATATATCTTTTCAAAAAGGTAAACAAATATCTTAATGTAAATATCGCTAACTTTATAAATAATACAATTCTATCGTTTTGTGTTTGTGTATTTCCATAATAAATTCAATAATTATTATTATCAAACTTTAAGTGTATATTAATATTGCTAAAATGAATATCTCTTCTTATGGTTAAATATATTGATTATAAAAGTTTTGGAATATTATCACAAATCTTATCATAATGAATATTTTTTCTCAAAGTTTAAATATATTGATTATAAAAGTTTTGGAATATTATCACAAATCATAATGAATATTTTTTCCTAGGTTTAAACATATTGATTATAAAAGTTTCGGGATATTATCACAAATCTTATCATAATGAATATTTTTTCTTAAGTTAAATATATTGACTACAAAAGTTTCGGGATATTATCACAAATCTTATCATAATGAATATTTTTTCTCATAGTTAAATATATTAATTATAAAAGTTTTGGAATATTATCACAAATCTTATCATATCAGCTAATTATTTAAATAAAATTTTTCTTCCTCTTCGCTTTTTTTCAGACTATTGCTAAAAATTATTCAATAATTATAGCAAAAAAAAATAATAATCATAACTATAGTATGCAATTATTAATTGCATATTGCTAAATTATCAATGATAAAAATTATCAAGTATGATTAGTAATTAGTTGAAAGAAGTAATTAATATTCACAATGATAATTCATTTCGTTATATTATTTTAATTCACTCTATCAGTTTTATATTCATATAAAGATAAAATTTTTTGTAAATTATAATTTCAAAAAATTCCATTAAACTGCAAAATAGCTAATGAATGATTCATCCTAAATAATTAATGTTGTAAAAAAGGAAAGATATACAAAATGGAATGGCAATTTGTACAGATCAAACTAGTATTTAATAAATGGAAAAAATGCTAGAAATGGTGGAAATTACACAAATATAAGTCAAATGGAATCAATGAAAAAAGATATGATAGGAAGTTAAGAAGAAAAATGTTATCAGTAAGAGGAAAGATTTGAAGTTATTATTTTCTGGTATTTTTCACTCTGAATAACTACTGATACATATTATCACTTTATAGGCATAGTATATATATATATATATTAGATTATAATTATATATTATAAGTTTTCTCTTCTTCTTTTTAAAAAATTTATGTAATGAAAAAATAATAAAATTTTAATTACTCATTTATCATATAAATGAGATGACGAAAAAATTGCAAATGAAAAATATCGAAATTCTAAAATATTATTTGCCAGTTTTTATTTTTATAAAATAATTCAAAGCATAGCTTTTGAATTAATAATAAAATATTTCAATTAAGGAAATTTATCTCAGTTAAAATCTCCCTTAGATGAAGGCATATGTAATAATTTTTGCAGAGAAAATCAGCAATCATTAGGAAACATATGAATCTATCAATTAACTTCACTTCAGATTCTAAGCTTCTTTCAAGCGAAATATCGATCTATACTGAAAATTAAACTGACGGATACTTTATTTCTATATGATGCGAAATCACATAAATATTATCTTTTTAGATATTTTGATAAATTAATTACTGTAATATTTCTATATGATGGGAAATCATATAAATATTGACGATAATATCGCAAAACCTGGTAGAAGATGTGTGTACATTTAACATTGTGACAGTTATTAAAACTAACTATTTTACACACAACTAATTATTTCATGCATAGAAATTAATTGTTTCACACATACATCGATCTACGCTGAAAATTAAACTGACGGATACTTAATTCATGAGAGCTATTTCATTTTAACCCGAAGAATGAGATGCCCTAAAAATATCACATATTTTATTGTTTTTCAAGGATTAATGAATAATAGAAACGTTTTGCAACGTAAAGAGTCATATCATGATATTTCCATCATTCTATAATTTATGTTGATTTAGTCCTTATATTATAAATTAACATATAAATTTATATAAAACATTTATGAGAATAATTTCAAATTTCAAAGAGCAGAAATTTTCATCGATCCAAAATTTCTTTTCCATTATATTATTTTTGTTTCCTAAATTTCTTTCTCATCATATTCATTGATTCAAAATTTCTTTCCTACCATACTGTTTTTATTTCCTAAATTTCTTTCCCATCATATTCACCGATCCAAAATTTCTTTCCTATCATTCTGCGATATTCGCAAATTTCTGTGATACTCGCAAATTTCTGTGATATTCGCAAATTTCTGTCATATCAGCAAAAAAAAACCTCCTTTGAACTTTTGCAATAAGCGAAAATTTTATTACAGAAGACAAAGCAAAATATTTTGAGGGAAATGATGGCAAGGAAGAAAAAAGTATAGTATAACGTCACCTATTTCTACAGCCTACAAATTAATCATTAAAACTTGTCCCATCATATATCATCCTTTTCAATAACTTCAAATGATGCACTTTTAACTGCCACCATAGCCTAAGCTTTCGTATTTTTGTTTGTTAAGTATTAAGCTTTTCGAAGTTTTTCAGAATATGAAAAGTGAACTTTAGAAAGTGTGTAAAATAAATGAACGTATAAGGTGTTGATGATAGAAGTGTGTAAGTAGTGGAAGTGAAAATTGCTTAGCTTATAAGAATTTCACTCTTTTGCTACAGATTTACCTCATTTATATTTCATTTTGGAAATAGCTCATATATCTAAATCTTCCATTAAAATGTATAAATTCATGGTTTTTAATTCATGGTTTTTAATTACGTTAAGAAAATTAGCATTATGACAAAATACAAGTAAATTGCAAAATTAAAATTACAGCCAGATCGCCTGTTGACCACAACATTCATTATTTTTCGTCAAAAGACAGTTAACACAACTAAAAGGTATAATTCATAATTCCATTAGAAAACTTCTCATTCAATTTGTGACAGAAATTTCCTATTATCTGAATTTTTAATCTGATTGTTGCAGGCAATTCAATAAAAATGATGCAGAGAGGAAGTATGAAGGAAGTAATTTTTCAGATATTATGTGGTATCAAAAAAGATTATTATGCAAAGAAAATTATTTATTGGAGATTTCGAAAATATGAAAATTACAAAATATAATGGAGAAAAAAGAAATGAAAATTTTCAGGTAAAACAATAAACTGGTATACAGACTACTTTCCATTAGATTCAAACAAACGTAATGTGTGTGAAGATGAAACATTGGTAAGCATATACTGTCCAATTATAAGACCAAAGAAAGACCTTTATAAAGTGCATTATTTGATCTTGCATCATTAGTAATGTTATATCAAACATAAGACCAAAATTCAATAAACCTGTATTATGAAATCGAAATGGAAGATTGTGTTGAAAAAGCTGACAGTGAATAAAACGATAAGACGAATCAAATAAGTGGAATTTCAATATTAAAGATCACAAAGGTTAACGTCTATGGCAATTAAATTAAATATTATTGAGCAGATGTTCAAGCAAAGATTTTATTATCGATTAGCATTGATATTAGTCAGATGTTCGGCTGCCCGCTTGGTAATATTTAGTGGTGGGTATATTATTCGTAGAGTGGGCTCACGCAGCAAAGATAATGCGGATATGCTGTAGCATGTATGCAAGGCATCTGGAATTGTAAATTGTGAACTGAGGTGGGAAATCCGATATTTGATCGAGTATAAAATAAGGAACTTTAAAGATTAATTTCAACTTTTTAAAATTCTAATATACAAGCATAAAGGATAACCAAAAAAATATCTTTCTTCCTTTCACTCTTTCTTTTCAGTCGACTCACAAAATTTGAATGTGTCCAGTCCCAAAGAAAGCAAAATTTAGTTCTCAAAAGAAAAACAAGGAATTTATGATCTAAAATCCAACAAATAATGGTAGTTATTCTTCTACTCAACTATATTTGAAAGTTATTCTTTTACTTAACTATAAAGAAAAACACTCTACATTCACATTTTTAGGATGAAAACTTTAACAACATACCGGGGACAACATCGCTAAACTTGCCGAAACCTCCTAACTGTCTGTCTTGAGTCGAGTAGATGAACGATCGAAGTCGTTCTTTGTCTACGAACATATAAGCATCCAAAATCTAGAAAAATATTACTTCGTTCGAAGCAGAAAATTCCGAGAAAAAGTGAAACATTAAAAAAATTAAACAGCACACTGAAATGAAATGGACTCCGTTCTTGCAAAATGCCTTTAGAAAAGGAAAAGAATATTATCTAACTTTTGACAAGAGGACTAAAATTTGCACACCTTAAGTGTTCCACCAATCCAAAATGCATAACAACTGTCATCCGGTTTATTGGCTCGACCATGAAAACCCTCATTTTGTTTCCACAGCGCCCACTTCACAAGTTTTTCAATTTGTTTATGCGTCAGAACACTCTCATCCCATAAATGTCCAGCCATCGCTAATGCAGCTATAGCACAAAATGTTGAGCCTCCTGAAATTCAAAATACTTCTTACAATAATACCGAATGGTATCGAAAGTTGTGCTAATACCTATTTGTCAACTTTAAGGCGTCCTATAACTTCTACAATGTTAAAAAAGAACTCGATGTTAATTAGATTGAATAAAACCATGTTAGGAAAATTTATTTCAAATACTATTACTGATTATGCTTGCTTTTAAGCTTATATAGCTTAAAGTAGTTGCTATTTACTTCCATATTTTAAGTTTTATGCTTATTTTGGGTATTTTATAGCTTTTGCAGATCTTTTGCACATTTTTGCCTATACTTCATTCCGAATCTAAAAAAATAAAGATATAAATAGTGAATGTATCAAATTTGTCAGGAGAAATTCTTTTCATATAATTTCATTCTATCGTTCGAATATTTCCGAAAAAAAATGCTCACCATGACTTTCAAGAGAAGGTGCTTGACCGATACCACCGTCAAAGTTAACACACCTCTGAATAAATTTCAGTACTGATTTCATGTCAATTGTACTAAAATCATTCAGCATATGACATACTGCGATGGCACAATAGACAAAACGCATGTCATTTTCCGTTCCTTGCTGTCCTCGAAAACTGAAAATAATTTTTTATGAATTTTGCATAAAAGGTCATTTCTTCATTTTCTCGAAAATCCGACATTTGGATATTCCGCTATAATATGTTTAAATATTTTGTTTATGGGATTAAGAGCTCTTTGATTAAAAGCATTACAGTTTACAACTGATGGGTACTTAACGAAGAACAAATCCACTGGTGATGTTACTTCTATCCATCTTCAGTAACCTGCCAATAAGTATTAATTATTGTTAAGATTAGAGAATGCTTGAACAGGCAAAAGCAGAGAAGTAATAAGACCCGCAATAATACATTCGAATTGCTCTGTCCATGTAAAACTGTAGATTAAAGATCTGGAAAATAAAGAATTCAAACCTGCCATCACTAAGCTGGCCACAACATATTCCTTCTAACACAGCTTTCCTATCTACTCGACTTAAATCGTCTCCCAGAATCAATAAGGAGCAAAGAGCTACATAGGTTTGCGAAATGTGGGCACTATCATACAAAAAGCAATTCTTTGTGATAGAGTTATCCGATTTTATAGGAACTACATCACCACCACCATAGTGCCCCGCTTCATACCACAATGGCTTAGAAAAACCAAAAGATCCACGAAACCCGTATGCTTCCTTTGGACAACCTGTAAAAGAAAAATCAAGTTAGAATATATGAAAAGAGTAACAAAAATATAGATTAATAAAAACATTTTTGAAATACATGCCAACCTGTGATAGTACTTATCTGAAAAGTATTCCAAAATGCAATGTAAAAAAAAGAATGAATAAAAAGATAACTTCCTATTTGAAATGCAAGCAAACGTATTGGCCGTGAAACAATATAAGTGAATGAGATTTTATCATACCAGGCATACATAAATGAAGTAGAACAAAGATGAGAGAAAATAAAATGCATAAATCTATAGCTTCTACGTTCCTGCTTTCACAATTTCAACGTCCAGCAAGATAATATTTTCCCTAGCTACAATTCATCCATCATTTTTTTTCATTTCTGAGATGCAAGCAAACGAATTGGCCGTAAAACAATATAAGTGAATGAGATTTTATCATCGAGACATAAGTGAATTTTAAAGAATTAATAAAAAGATATCTTCCTATTTGCAATGCAAGCAAACGTATTTCGATAAAGGTAATTGCAAAAAGAAAAGAAAATCTGTACAGCGAACAAGATTGAATCCCTCAGTAGAAATATCTATCCCAACCTTGTAGCACAATCTTTGAAAAAAGTTGCTCATCGGCAACATCTCTCACTATTTGTGGTTCAGGATAGCTATTTTCAGAATGCGTATCCAGCGGCTGTAATGTTTCAGCATCAGTGTCCAAAAAAAGATTTTCTGAAGCACCAAGATCAAATTCCACATCGAAAACGGCCGTTTTTTGCTGAAGCCTACAAAATGCACATTAGTCGGCCTAAAAATTTTTTGTGAAATGAATATGTTCGAAAAGTTGCAAAAATTAAAGAATTGCTAAAAAGTGAAAAGAAATTCAAATATTAGGCAAACCACACATCTGAACGACATTCCTAGCCATTTCAACTTCACAAACCACTTTACATGAAAACTTAATTCTTCATATATCTGTTTTTCAAAGTCACAGTTCAACTTACATCCAAAAATAATAAACTAATAACATGATTGATGACATACCTTCCCATACCGAATTTGTTAGAATCAACTACATCTTTCACTGTCGATGCTTCCCTCCATAATATTTTCTCTGATAAATCTTGATCATTCTGGATACTAATCTGTTCATACCATAGGCTTCCATCATCCATCATTCGGAAAAGAAATGATTTTTCATTACCAGCATCAGCATAAGTGTTTAGGAAAGAAACGGCTCGAGTTGGTCCATTTCCGAATAAAAGCCTTTCAGCTAAGCGAGGGACTCGCACTTTATATTTAGGTTGTTCTCGATAAAATGAAGCTGCACTACGAGGCTCCTGCAGTCGTTTGATCGATGCCAAAGATGACCATGTCGTGCTGTCCGAATGACGATACAAGGAAAATGTTTGTACATCAGGATATATAGTATGTTGCAAAACGTAGAAGGGATAAATAGTGCCATTTCGATCATTATCTCGAATGGGTGGAGCACTCGTAATGTGATGTCCGCCATGATAGATACTATGAGCCATTTCCAAGCAAATGAGTCCACGCATTCGTTCATCCACAAGTACAAACCTTCAAATTGTTTTCAAATTCACACTTTTGATATTTTACTTATGCGTTTAATAAGACTTAATCTGAAAAATGGAACTTTACTTTTTCGATGTACAAACAAGAAGCATCTGGGGAACATCGGGCAAGTTGTATAACTGGTGTATATTTTGCTTCTCAAAAGCACCTTTGTACTGGAAATGGTATGAATTCCGTGATGTATCATCATATTCAGGAATAGTATACAGTAAGTCACCTGTAATCATCCAATTTTTTGAACCGTTATATTAAATGTATCGTATTAGAACTCAGGATATCCAATAAATTCAACCTTCATTTTCACTTTTAATGAAACCTTTGATCAAAACTTCATTGGAAAATTAAAAGTATTGTCAAAAAAATTCTAACCATCTGAAGCGCCAGTTCTCAAATCAATTAAATGAACAGCATCTTTGCTAGCTGCATATATCAATCGTGGATGGTCTGATCCAGCTACTGACTGCAACAAATTTAGGAAGTCAAAAAGCATATGATAGAAACGTGCACCAGCGGATATCTGCAGTACTCGTTTGTTTAACTTCCCCATACTACCGATAACATGACAAGCAGTCTTAATGACCGATGTTATTAACCTGTTCGAGAGAAATTAAATTTTTTTCAAGGATTTCGGAGAAAAACGAGATTAATTCATGCAACTCGAACCATATTTGATATTTTTAGTTACTTATTAGCCTTATTGGTAATAATTACTTACTGGAAATAAAGTAACACTAAATGAAAATTAAAATTCTATTTCCTGCTTTAAAAAATTTTAACTTCGAAAAGGAAAATCCGGAAAAATAAGCAAAAATACTGACCTCAATATCATAACCACACTTTGTTTGGATAAAATTGCTATTCATTTCTCCATACCAAATTAGACCACCATCATCAAGAAACACAATTTCATCGTTCATATAAGGTATGAACGATAGAGAATGGACAGGACGGTTAAAGAGTGTCAAAACAACATTATTTTCTGGATCGCAGAGATACAATTCTTTTTCACTGCGAGCTAAGATTCGACATCTTTCTCCAGTGGGCTTATAAGATCGAAGCTCAAGTAAGGCAGTATTGACATCTAATGTTCGGCAAGATTTTGGATTATCAGAATTGGGACTATAAATCTGCCGTTTTCTAGACACATCTGTAGAGGAACTCCAGTTTCCCTCCATTATTTTCATTCTATCAGATTTATGAATCTCTTGATCTTCATCCCTATCGGACAAAATTCTCCATTCATCAAATCCCTCATCTCTTGAATGATGCAAACGAAATTCCATCAAGCGCTTCCTTGTTGAAAGCTCACTTACACACCACAATGTCACCGAATTATCAGCAGGATCTTCCAGCACTTCTAACATATTTCTATTCCTCAACCGATTATCGCGAGTTTCGAAAGGCCAATGTCCTGCATGTCGAACTGCCATACAATCCCGAACCCATGGCGTTGTCCATGTCAAAAGTCGAGGGAAACCCACTGAATGGGGAACCATATGAGGTCGTTGCCAATGATGGGCAAGATTATGCTGCGATATGTAAAAATCATTGCTTGAACAACTGGACCCTTGATCTTGAACACTAGGATTGACCTTGATACCACCAAGAACGGAACATCCCGTGTCCAGAAATCCAAAATTTGGGGTTGGCGGTGCACAAAAGCCCATTATTTCTTACAAAAGAAACTCTAAAACATTCTCAAATTCAATGAAGCTTTGAAGATGTCAAATCATAAGAAACAAAACAAGAACTGGAAAAACTAAGAATAAATAATATAAACTAAAAGCAATGAGCTAAAACATACAGCAAGAGTTTTAAAAATATCCAAAAATCACTGAAAAGACACATAAACTTCTCCAGCAAAACAAACAGCACACAATTTGCTTGCATTTCGCAGATATCTTTACCAGAGAAAACCTCACCAGAATCACTTTTCAGCTGTAAACGATAGATCCACTCGATAATTTTTGTCCTTAATTCTGCATCCACTTCTTCCTCTAACTTTCCTAGCACATCAAGTGTCGATAAAGTGAAGTAAAGAATTGCTACTCTAAAAAAAACAAGTTTTACCAAGTGTGAGCAAGCAAAAATTTTAAATGCAAACTTTGCTGAATTTTGAAATGTAAATTAGAAGTAAATGCGCAAACTCAGTGAAAAAGAAACAATTGTTATAAATGGGAAACAGGTACTCAATTGCTGCTTCCTTGCATATATATTTTTAAAAATATTTTGCTCTTCTCCACAAGAACATGTATTCCTAAATTTCTCCAGGGCTTCTGATATCTAACCTACAACGATCAAAAAAGAATATTAAAGGACTTTTGCGAGTGCTACTATTTGTGAGTCTCATTTCCAACATACACTCTAAAATAACTAACCTATTCGAATCAAAACTTCGATAACTGGCCGGTAACGTAACAAGATGTCCTCGTAGAAATTTCAAATGTTGTGAAATAAGAAGCGCTTCAGACATGAACGAATGCGTAAAACTGAAACAATGGACTAAACAGAATAACTTTTTAAATACCACAACTTTCATAAAGAATGACTGAATTTCAAGAGCTGAACTGAAAATCCTTTGATCTTATGCCATTTGATAAAAAGCTCTCATGACCCAGTTTCATCTCATCGACAGTTACATAACTGGCACCAATCGTTATAAGCTATCGTTTCCTTAAAGGATCATAAATTCAGATACCACTCAATAATCTCTTGTCAGTGAGTAAATACATCTTCACTTATCAATTTCTCCTAATCAGAAAAATTTGCTCTTTATAGTTTCTTTATCAAAATCAATATAAAGTAAGCTAAAAAAGGCTGTCACGACCCATTATTTGTTATTTGACAAAAATTCAAAGAAAAAACGAGAACGAAGCAAGAAAATAAAATTCTAAATTGAACCAAAGGAGATATTATGCCTTAATTAAGCATAGCTTATATTTTCTCATCCAATATATTGGAAAAATGCATAAATCTAAATATGACCACAGAAAACGAGCATAAAATATATGTGAGAGAAGAAATTTACGATCAACTCCAAATGATAATGGTGCAAAGCTATTAAAAAGTACGTTACTGGTAAGAAATTACCATATAGGGACAAAATTTTATGCACTTCACGAAACCGAATTTATAGATTATAATAAAATATTAGACAACAACAAAAATATTCAAACACAAAGGTATACTTTACAATTTATCAATTATCATCTCACCAATAATAA